CCAAAAGAAACGACCCAAAATGACTTGAAAAAGTCTAGTTCCATTGACTTACATTGAAATTAAAGTAGGTCTTTTGTAATTTTGGAGATACAAGGTTTTCTTTTGACAACAGCGATAAATGAAATGACAGAGATTATAGGAAATTTAAGAAACCTTTCTGAACAGTGGACAAAAGAATCTTTTCTGCCTCACACAAGTAGCCTTGTGACAGTATGTTGCTGTCTCAGTGGATTTCTGAGAACAACTTGACCTTTGCGACATACTTATTTTAGGGCTCCAACAAGCACAGAGTTTGATCTGACTTGAGGGCTACACAGTAAATCGGATTTTTGTTTACATGAAATTATTCAATAAACGAATCAACGGCTGTGATGACAGAATGGATCAAGCAACGGAGCGACACAGTTAGATTGGCAGGGACGTAGCACTAGTATTTATGATGCATTTGTTCCATCTCGCCCTGCGTCATTTAAAAAAAGCAAAAAAAAAAAAAGAGTGGTTTGCTTACACAGTCACCAAGTACGTATCTGTATCCTGACTAGCTAACTTAACATTAGCTTAGCGAGCAGCCTGCAGGGTGACACCACAGTACAGGTTTGATTCTGACTGACTGCTGCTCTGCTGACACAAGTTTAGATGATAAACTCATGTCTGAGAGAGCAAGAAGTTGAGTGACCAGTGTTGGAGTGACAGAAAGCCGAAATCGAACCTGTTCTGTGAGGTTGGATCTGTAGCCTGATTAGCTAACTCAATGTTAGCTTAGTAAGCAGGCTACGCACCCAAACAGAGCCACACACCACAGTACAGTTTAATTTTGACTAACTGCTGCTCTGCTGACACAAGTTTAGATGATAAATCTGAGAGAGGAAAAAATCGAGTGACCAGTGTTGGAGTGATGGAAAGCCGAAATCAAACGGGACCGTGGGATTTTGGCTAAGCTAATGATAGCTTATGTAGCAGGCCAGACGCGCCGCACAGCACATGGTTGGTTGGTTGGTTTCAAGGCTTGGTTCCAGTTAACTGATACTAAAACAACACCCTTTTAGAGGAAAACTGAGAGCGCAAAGTCGAGGGACTGATGTAAGATTGACCGAAAGCCGAAACTGAACGTGTTCTGTGGTGAGTGTAGCTCTTAGCCGTGGCTGAGTTGCTGTCATGCTTTGTTTTTCTGAGGTTTACTTCTTATCAGTGAGCTCCCACAGCCCCATCAGTAAGACCCTCTAATATGTAAATGGGTGGAATGTCTTTATTTGGCTGTTCAGATGTAAAATAGTATTTCAAAATTTTGAAATACTGTCATAATTTTTAAATATAGTAGCCTATATCTTGTTATGGGTATAACACCAACGCCTTGCTACCCCTATAATTGATACAGAACGTTTACTTGGATTGATGGTTATATGGACAGTTCTTCAAATTTCCATGCCATGCATTGAGAATTTCTTTGGAGAGCCAAAGTGGCGGTTCACTATAACCAGAAGCTGTTCGGAAGAGTTCCATGAAATAACTATCCATCTACCTATCACCTTACCTGTTTTCTCAATTCTAGAATCTAATCATTTATCTGTTTCCCATTTTTGTTAGTGTTTATATGATTCCGAGTGGGGAATATTTACCTGGGTGACCCATTTCATACGTCACTAGCTGAAGGTTTCCACATTAAACACTGTGTTTATGGGTGGCATGAACAACTGGTTCATTTGTGATTTTATGACAGCATATTTTACAGACTTTTACAACATATTTTACAACTACATTATCCCGACAACATCAGAAAACAGATTTAACATCAATCCATGCACTATTTTTGTCCTTCCTGAGATGACTGGACGCTGTTCGGCTGGGGCCATTTCATAATAGAATTGCACGCTTTGTATGACGTTCATTTTACTACACCGTATTTGACTTCACTGAAATGTTCTCCACTTCCAAGAGACGTTCTGTTTTCCAACATGTAATCTAATGTTATCTTCACCGTGCTGACATTAGCCACTAAGGCTAGTTGGTTACAAATGCTGACTCACTGCCAGCATGTGCAGGAAATGTGTTGAACTCAGGAGCTTTTGTTTTGTTTTATTTGTGCGTTGTTGTTATGCTGCTGTGAAATGCTGCCTGCACTGTTGTATATTGTGTAATGCACCATGTTGTGACTTTTGTGGATGTTGCTTTCTTGAGTTTACCTCACTTAGTCACCACCATCATTCAGTCTGTTCTGTTATATTGCCCCCTTACGTACAAACCCAATCCTAAAAAGTTGAAAGAGTTGAAAAAAATGTGAAAGCAGCAGTGATTTGCAAGTCCTTTCTGACATATGTTCAACTGAAAACAGTACAAAGACAAGATATTTAATACCTCAACTAATTAGCCTTAGTGTTTGTAATAGGTACCTGCAACATATTCCAAAAAAGTTGGGACAAGAGCATGTTTACCACTGTATTACATTATTATTATTTTTTTTTTGGCCCCATTTTCTCCCCAATGTAGTCATTTCCAGTTCCACCCACTAGTTAGGACTCCCCTAGTTAGGACACCCACTAGTTAGGACTACCAGCGCTAGGAGGTCGAAGGCTAGCACAGGCTTCATCTGAGACCTGTGAAGCACCGCCGCATCTTTTTGAACTGCCGCTCACACAACGTCACTGGACAGCCGAACGTGCTCGGAGGAAAGTGCCAACCGCCAGATCTGTTACGTCAGCTAACAGACGCCGGTGCTGACTGGCATCACACTGAGTGATGGGGAGAGAGGTGGGGCCATCCTACCCACCCAGAGAGCTTGGCCAATTGTGCTCTCTTGGACTCCCAGCCAAGGATGGCTGTAGCATCACCAGGGATCGAACTCGCAACCTCCTGGTGATGGGGCTAACGCTTAGATGGTTGTGCCACTCGGGAGCCTTATCACCTTTCTTTTTAACAGCGTTCGATAATTGCTCATGAACTGAGGACGCCAACTGTTGTAGTTGTGAAACTGGAATTTTTTTTACCGTTCTTGCTTGATATAACACAGCTACCCAACAGTCTAGGATCTCAGTTGTCGTATATTGCATTTCATATCACGTTTTCAATGGGAGACTAGTCTGGACAGCAAGCAGGTCAGTCTAGCACCTGTACTCTCTTACTACAAAGCCCACTGTTGTAACACGTGCAAAATGTGCTTTGACATTGTCTTGCAGAAACAAGCAGCCATGTCCCTGAAAAAGACGTCATCTAGATGGCAGCATATGCTGCTCCAAAATGCGTTTGTACCCCTCAGCATTAATGGTGCCTTCCAAGATGCTGGCTTTTGAACTTGCTGTTTGGTAACAATCTGGGTGGTCTTTTTTTCTGTTTTGCCCGGAGAACACAACGTCCAGTATTTCCAAAAACAATTAGAAATGTTCACTCATGTCCGTTTTTGATGTAGTGCTGTACAAGGGAGTTGAATGTCATGGGCATTCAGTATTGTTTTTCGTCCTTGTCCTTTACAACAGTGAATCCCTAAAATCCCTACAGTTCTGTTTTGAGAAACATTGTTCTTTGTTGGACTATTTGCTCATGCAGTTTTTCACAAAGTGGCAACTGAGCCTTTTGTGAATGCTTTTATACCCAGTCATGATAGCATCACCTGTTACTTGTTCACTTGTTTACCTGTAGAAAGTTCCAAAAAAGGTGTTTTTGATCACCCCGGTTGTGCATTGCCCCTGTCCTGACTTTTTTGTAACGCATTGCAGGCATCCAATTTAGCGTATATTTACAAAAATCAATAAAGTCAATTGGGTAGAATATTAAATATCTCCTCTTTATGCTGTTTTCAATTAAATACCTTTAAGAAAATGGTTACCAATCATTGCTTTTTGTTTTATTTGCATTTAACCTACTGTCCTTTTTTACCTTCAACTTTTTTGGAATTGGTTTTGTGTAGAGTGAATTGAAATGAATGTTTCTGTAAACGGCGCTCTTATTTTACATTATATTATGCACTTCATTGATCATACAAGAAAATTGTATCATTTAGCTTTTTAATTGTGCTCAGTCTGGGAGCTGTACAGTGTCACCTTCCGTTTGCTGGCGCACTTCTCTTACCACTGGGCTTCCAGCCACATGCCCTAGTTTACATGAATTGTGGCCAGATCAAGCACAATCAAAACGCTGGGCTACTTTTTAAAATATCCAGTCTAAACGTTTTCAGAATTTCTGCATAATTAAATGGTTGAGCAAGCCATTAAACAAAGTCCTTCACAGTGATATGATGTGAAATGGTGCCTTGTAGAGGCTCTTATCAACTCAGAATTTAGTTCTAAACAATGGTGGTGATGGGAATCAGGGGTTGCGACGTCTACCACACAAATATAGTCATTGAATTTGCTATCCCGAGTAATAACTGACCCCACATACGTCTTGTGTGTTGACAGTGGTAAAATACTGGTAAATCTGAACAAATGCATGTTTTTTTGGCCTTAGAATGGCCTGCATGTACTCCTCCACCATGAATGGATTTGAAAAACACAATTTAGGCCAAAACCGTCTTGTAAAACAATGTCTTGAGCATCATACTGCAAATTTGTTACCATTTCATGTAACAACTTTTCTGTGATGTAGTTCTTAGAGCCATAAAACTCATATGACGTCTGATTCCAATCACCACCACTGTACCTCATTTTGCATCAAATTACTCTGAACGACTTATCTTGAACATTGAATCAGATATTTTGGAATTTCCCTTTAAAATATGCCTGGAACCGCTTGACCGCAATACATAAACATGATAGCAATGCAAAAATGTGTGCATATGTATGTATATATGTGTGTGTGCATATTTTGTGCATGAAAATGTCATTTTGTTGTGTAATTCTCAGATATGCAGGTCTGACGCATCTATTCACAGCAAAGATTTAGCTTTGCCAGCATAAAGGTTTATGAATAGTGTAACTTTAGCATTAGATTATTGTACTGCAGTGAAAATCTTTCAGCTTTTCTATAACGATCTCTGTTTTCTCTCTCTCTCTCTCTCTCTCTCTTTCTAGCCTCCACAATGGATGACGTCCATGGTAAGAATCTTTTAACATCACATATATTTACATTGACCTAATTCAGCACTGGTTTCGGAAGCAATTGAAAGTGTGTTCCTGCGAGGCCAGGCCAGCGCTAGCTCTGTTTGATGTGAACCAGAATGTGTCAGTGTTTGAGACGGCAGGGCTTGAGCCACAGCAGGTGAAGGAAAATGTTGGTCACTTTTGTAGTGAGGTGTTATCCTCTTAAAGTACATTCCATTAGGCCCAGCACTGTCAGGGGCACTGCAGAATATGTGAAAACTCCTTAGATGGTAGGCGTTCTTAAGGCCTGCTTTACTGAAAGCGTTGTAGCCAAATCGTCACAAATGAATAGTTTGGTAGAAAAAAACATGCATGCAAGTTTCCTCATTATCCAAAATGTAGCATGATTAGTGACTAAAGTGGCTTTAGTTTTGCACTGGAGCTACAGGGCTAATGTAGCTAATGTAAGAGACAGCACCATCCATCAGCATTTTGCAAACTGTATGCTTAAATCATCATTGTAGTTATTGTCCTAATTCATTGTTAAGTTTAGACCAAAACATTCAATTATTGAGCGATTATTTATCTAGGTAGAAAAGAGTTTACAAGCACTTAATAATCTGATAACTGCAGAAGATCAGATTTTGTCAGTAACTCGAGCATCACGTTTACATGCACTTGAGTAATCAGATAATGGGAAAACTCTCTAGGTCTACATGAATCAGGCAGTAATCGGATTTCTGCTTTGCAAACGGCCAATATACTCAGAATAAGACGTGACGTAAACATAATGTACAGCTCAAACTTCATGCTGCAGCTTTTTTTAAATAAACATTATGCCAGCTTTATCTGAAACTATGAACATACATCATCTAGAAGATGAAAGATATTTAAATCTTTAATTTCATCAAGCACGTAGTTGGTTTTACCATTGCTCCAAAATACGAAAGAAATCAGAGTAAGAGTACACATGCACTGAGAAATCTGATTACTGGGCTAAAATCCAGCTCTCTATCGGATTTCTGGACCTTATTCTAATTTAAGAAGTCAGGGTATGCTGTTTACATGACTGTTTGAATTATTAGATAAATCTGATTATGATCGGATTATTGAGTACATGTAAACACATTCAGTGTAAAACTGCAACATACAAGGCAAAAAATTTGTTAATGTCACTTATAAGCTTCAAATAAAACAAATGGAATGCGTCAAATATTTATGTTTAATCTGAAAAAGGCAAAACAGCTTAGCTATGCCACACAGAGCTCAGCCACTAACATAGTAGAATCCTATGGCGCTAGCAGAAATTAGCATTATTGTAGAAGTATTATTTTCCCTTGTTTGAGACTTTTATAATTTTTGACATTTATAGCCCAAATTGAAGGCCTAGCGCTAACGGTCACAGCTCACTGCTGCTGTCTTTGAAAACCTAAAGTCTATTTGCAATTACTTAACAACTGAACATGGTGTTAGGCAAGTGTGTGCACTGGAGCTACAGGATGACTTATGCATGCAGTTTGCACGATGCTAACATAGCGATTATAAGCTTCTAGGGAAATGTACCTACGTTTCCTGGGCCCTCAGCTCTTTATACCATACCTCCAATGTAATACCGCAATATAGTACATTCAGGAACCCCATGGTCATGGAATGAGTGATACCTACCTGGGCAAGTTCTGTTCCTGAAGTCTACACTTTTGCTAACTAAATGTTGAGGACAATTTGACATGAAATGGGGTCATTGAGGAGGTATTCAGAGCACGAATGACAACTTTGGTAATGTGTGAAATACAATTGTGAGTGAAATATTTGTAAATACATAAAATATATCAACGTCAGTCTTATTTTAACGTTGAGGGAGCACATTTGAGGCCACATGGGACTGAAACAGGAGTCCATGGGAACATACGGCTGCTCCCAAAATTACAAAGAGGGAACACGGGGCCGGGGGAACAAAGGGCTGTTTGCTAGACATTTCAAAGAGCAAATAAAGGTCCCTGGCAACATAGGGACGACTCGTTAGCCGCAGTGCTGTGCAAAAGTCGGAGACCACCAAAACTGTACCCATCAGATAAGCAGCCCTTAAAACTTTGATCTTTGAGGGTCAGAAGAAGGTCAGGCTTACTTCAGAACTGAAAAACTCCACAGGTGTTTCTGTCCGTCCTTCCACTGTGAGAAGACAACTTAACACTTTGGGTCTGAAAGGATGAGTAGCTGTCAAGAAGTCGTTACTGAGAAAAGGAAATAGACAAGAAAACAAAGAGAACAAAGAAGCTGCTGGTGTTCTCATAAAAATAATCTGACCAACCCAGAGTCCAGATTACTGTCTGTGTTTGGGATTACCTTGATTGTGAAAATAGACTGAACTTTGGAAGTGTAGAAAAATATTCTCGAGATTTCTTTGAAAAACAGAAGGCAAATTTTCTAAAAAAAATAATGGACGCTGCAATAAAGGCAAACATATGACAGGCCAAATAATAAATAGTTTGATATTACATATCGTTGTTGAGGCATCTGTAATTTTCTGCTAAATATACATTTTCTGCTATATATGTTTTGTTTTTTTGTTTTTTTTCTGGTGTCATATGACATGAAAACGTAAAACTTTTAGTATCTAACCATCTCGACTCAGCCTGCAAATGTTTTTAGTTTACTTTCAATTGGATTTTGGAATGTTTGTTATTGTTTTACATTTGTTATTCTTTTTAATTATTTCATCAACTTTTAACTTTTTAGTTACTACTGAGTTATTGTTTAACACTTTCTGTTCTTTATTTTATTTAATGCTTTTATTATCCCTGTTTAATCTGTTATTTATTAGTTTATTTTTGCAATTTTAATGGATTATTTGATCTCATTTGATTGTTTACTTTTACATTTTCTATTACAGTTATTATTACTGCTATTTTTTTTTAGCTTTAGCTAAGTTTTTACAATCTAATGTAGATTTCTGTATTGGCTCGTCTACATTGTAAATGAGGGTCACCCTCAATGTACTCTGAGTGTAAATAATGGTTGATTCATTGATTTTACTCTGACACTGCAAAATGAATAACATCTTCAATGGCCATTTTGACTGGAAATTAAACAAATGAGGAGCAGGGTCTCTGACTTTTGCACAGTTCAATACATGAGCCTCACAGCTCCAGTGCAAAACTAAAGAAGCAAAATTAGGAATACAGGTGAACAAAACTATTTTACAGAATTATTCCTTTAAGATGTCAGAATGACGTTCACTCTGGACACTTTTGTTCAAGTTAAAGTCTAATAGCCATGACGCTTTTGGAAAATCAGGCCTCGATGTAAAGCCAAAAGTGAATTTTATATCTCTGACATTGTCTTTGCACGTTTGTGTAGGTCTGGAAGTCATGAAGTCTGTATCTTTCTAATACTTGAGATATACTGTGTGTATGTAGAACCTCATCTTGCTTTTAGTAGCCATGTGAATATGGTGCAGGGTCTCAGCGTTTAGACTCAAGTCTTTTTTTATTCGTTTCTCTTTCCCACCAGAGCACGACATCCCATTTCATTATGGTAAGTGGGGATAAATTACATCTATTTAGAAAATCTTCAGGTATAGCGGAAAGAGGAGATTCAGTGTTTTGATGGACAGGGTGTGGTGACAGAGGCTTCGCACCACACAGTTTCAGTACAGTTTTCTCCACCTGCTATTTTTGATGCATAAGTACTTCCTGTGAATGTCACTTGCTGGTTGTATGCATGACTCATGAACTTGATGGATGGGTATGATTTGGGGAAACCAAATACTCTGTTTGGACACCATGTTTGTTGTATTGGGAGGTGTTGTGCTCATGTGGAGGTTGCGATGAAGGACCCCTCTCAGGAAACATCTGGGGAGGTCAGTGAGGGTTTGTGTTTTCCATCTGTTTTTCTGAAGTGGATGGAAAACACTCACCCCAGGGCCATGCTTCCGTACAGCCTGTTAAAGAAATCCAAACTCCATCATCAGCGGCCTCAGTTTAGCATCTTTAACCGTGTCACATATGCACATAAATGTTGCATACAAATATAAATATTGACTTTTGTATGAGTGGTATGTAAGATTCACTAGAATGTTTGCAATTAATTATATTTAAATTCATATATTATTGATTTATTATACATCCTTAAGTGGTCTTCCAGTTGGAAGATCCCAATTACTGAACTAAAATCCAGCTCTCTTAATTGGATTTCTAGAAATCCGATAATGGCCTAATCCGATCGAAGAAAGTGGAGTATGCTGTTTACATGACCACTTGAATAATCAGATAACTTCCAAAATATGATTAATCGGATTATTAAGTGCATGTAAACATATTCTTTGAGTGGAGAAAAGGTGAAAATGGAGGAAACCGGTCGTTATTCCTCATGCTGTTTAAATGTGTACATGTGTACATGTATGTACGAACCTCAGTTCCTAAAAAGGTTAGAACACAATGCTAATAAAAACAGAAAGCAGTGATTGTTAAATTCTGTTTGACGTGTAAAATTTAAATTGAAAACAGTTCTAAAATATATTTTGATGTTAATATGCTTATTCCAAATTTGATGCCTGCAACACGTTCCAGACCAAGTTGGGACAGGAGTGTTGAGGAAGGGAGGACATCAGCTGTTGTAGAATTTTTTTCCCCACTCTTGCTTGATATAACACTTCAGCCATATGTGGGGGAATATATATATATATATATATATATATATATATATATATATATATATATATATATATGTATATGTAATACACACACACATATATGTATGTATGTATGTATGTGTGCTATAACCATACTGTTATAACACCTGCAACATGTGGTTTGGTGTTGTCATGTTGAAATAAGCATGGCCATCAATGAAAAAGATAGTGTCTACAATTTTCCTGCAATATGTGTATATATATCTTCCCACGTTAATGGTGGCTTCACAGATGTGCGAGTTACTTGGGGCATGGGGTAGTTATTAGGGATGATACAGGTGAATAGGTAACAGGTGATGCTGTCACTGGTTAAAAATGGAGCATTCAACACCATAACATTATTGAAAGATTCAAAGAATCCAAAAAATCTCTGGGCCGAAAACCAGTATTGAATGCTTGTGATCTTCGACCCTTCAGATGGCAATGCATCAAAAACCTACATGCTTCTGTAATGAATATTACCACAGGGCTCGGGAATACTTCAGAAAACCTTTGTCAGTGAACCTTTTGCAGCTGCATCTACAAATGCAAGTTAAGACTCTATTATGCAAAATAGAAGTCACATATTAACAGCATCCAGAAACGCCGCCGACTTCTCTGGGCTAAAGCTCACCTGCAGTGGACTGACGCAAGGTGGAAATGTGTGCTGTGGTCTGACGAGTCCACGTTTCAAATTGTTTTTTTAAAGAATAGACGTTGTGTTTGCCGTGTAGAGAAGTCAGCTGTGTTTCTGGACACTGCTGATGAGCCCAGAATGCCATCGACATCTCATATGAGATGAAGAAACCATCCTGATTGTTACCAGCGCAAAGTTCAAAAGCCAATATCTGTCATGGTATGAGGGTGGGTTAGTGAGTAACTTGCACATCTGTGAAGGAACCATTAATGCAGAGGGGTACATATGCGTTTTGGAGTAACATATGCTGCCATCTAGATGACGTCTTTTTCAGGGACTCCCCTGCAAAACACTGCCAAAACACATTCTGCACATGTTACAACAGCATGGCTTCATAGTAAGAGAGTGCAGGTGCTGGACTGGCCTGCTTGCAGCCCAGACCTGTCTACTTTTGGAAAGGTGTGGCACGTCATGAAATACAGTAAACAACAACAGAGACCCCAGACTGTTGAGCAGCTGAAATGTTATATTTAGAAAGAATGGGAGAGAAATTCCACTTTCAAAACTATAACAGTTGGTGTCCTCAGTTCTCAAATGGTTACTGCTTTTAACAATGTTCAAAGGTGCTGTAATCCAGTGGTAAACAAGCTCCTGTCCCAACTTTTTTAGAACATGTTGCAGGCATCAAATTTAGAATAAGCATCTATACACAAAAACAGTAAAATTAAATTGTATTAAACACTAAATATCTTGTTTTTGTACTATTTTTTTGTTGAATGCAGATTCTAAAGGATTTGCAAATGAGTTGTCTGTTTTTATTTATGTTCAGACTTTTTCGGAATTGGGTACCTAGTTAAACAAGACTAATTATGTTCTCTTTGTAATGCAACATACAGTTGGCGAGTGTTCTTTCACTATCCATGTTTAAACACAGTGTAGTCCATTTTGTGAAAACACTGATTACAGACTGTATTTCAGTCTTTTAAAGTCAGTTTATCATTTGCAACATATGCAAATATAACTGAATATTTGCATAACATGTCATGTTATGTTGTTGTCTGTAATGTGCATCACCTCCAGTTCCACTTTTCCTTTCCTTCATGCTTTCTCGAGCAACAAACATTGAAAAAGACATGGCACAATTTCCACGTCCTTAACTTTTCATATGCATTTTCCTGTGGTAACGTTAAAATACTCCTCTGTCTGCTCCTTTCAGACTATGAATCTGTGCGGATTGGGGGTTTGATCTTCGCTGCCGTGCTCTTCCTCATGGGGATCTTTATTGTCATCAGTGAGTGTTTGTTGGATGACTGGAAGGGTTTCTTTTCTGAAAAATATGAATAGATGATCTATGTGTAGCCAAAACATTCTGCCCCAATACACTTGAATGGCTGATGCCTGAAGGTCTAGGTCAGTTTTTTGGATCCCTCTGCCTAGAGTATGCCAAAATTCTGTTTTTCCCATTTCTCAAACCCTTTCTTTTCCGAAACTAATGATTTTTATAATGATCTGAAACAATCATCATGAAAGTTACTAATCTTAAGGCAATTTATTCAATCATTATAAATCATTTACAGTGAGGAACTTAAATGTAGATCCATATATTGGCCTTTAGAGTTTGAGAGGTTAGCACAGTGGTACACTTTCAGGCATAAAATAAGTCTCAATTGTGTTTTCCATAAATATACCTGCTAAAGTTTCTCCCTGGAGCATCTTAACGATTTTCCAGCTGACAAAATGCAAGTCTTGTTGGTTGGACAGGGTGTGTGCCTCACAAGGTAATTATAGCTCTAGATTTAGATTCTAAAGTGAAGGGTGTTATAAATACACGGCCAATTACTTATTATAAGTACATTTGTGACACTATTTTGAAACCACACGTAGTGCCTTGGTACATCGGTGTAGTGTTATTGGTGTCACACAACATTATTGATTTTTAGTTTTAGAGGTATTGATGGAGAACAAAATCATAGTTAACTGTAATGTACAGTACTGTAGAAATGTCTGAAACCATAAGATACTCCAGTTGCATAAGGAAGGGTAAAGTTAAAGGAAAAAACTGAAAAAGGTTTCCAAAATTGGAGTTAAAAAAAATTCTTAAAAGATATAAAGGACATGGGATTCCTAATAACCACCTGCAAGACTTGGTAGACCACCAAAACTGTCCCCATAAGAAAAACAGTTTTAAAGCTTCCATTTTGAGAGACCAGAGAAGTTCCACTCTTGCTTCATATCTGAAAAAATCCACAGCTGTTTCTGTCCATCCTTCCACTGTGTCCACTGTCAAGAAGACGTTACTGAGAAAGGGAAATAGAAGGAAATAGAAAAAAAGGAAGAACGTTTGCAAATCAAACAAAAAAGCTGCTGGTGTTGGACTGACTGCCCCAGAGTCCAGACCTCAGCATCACTGAATGCATTTAATTACTTTGCTTGTGAGGAGCAGAAAATGCACCCAACTTCTAAGACTGAACTTTGGAGGTGTGGAAAAATATCCCTGCAGATTTCTTTGAAAACCTGAAAGCAAGTCTTCTGAACAAAAGAGATTCTGGGTAAGTTTATCTGTGAAATTAAAAACTTCTACTAAATGGCTGTTTGCGAATTAAGTAAAAGAAGGGTGGTCTCTGACTTCTGTACGTCATTGTTGAAAGGACAGTTCAAAATACTAAAAAAAACTAGTGTACTATAAATCCTCGTGTGATTTTAGGAGAAAATGGAACAAGTCTGTTCAATCAGTACAAGCTACATATGGTTTGTAATACTTTTAGAATGGAGGTAACATTATTCAGTTTATTAACTTTATTAAAGCAAACGGCCAATATCAGCAGAGACTGGGTTGGATATAGTAGGGAAAAAATTTGATCCAGTCCTGTAACAAATCTGTATCGAAATTGCCCTCGCACTGTGATATGTGGTGTTAGCTGTGTGGATCTTTCTGTGGGGTGAGTAGAAGGTTTGAGAAGTTGAAAGCTTAGTTTTAGATGCTTTTCTTAAGTGAAGTGATTTCATTAAAAAAAAAATAAAAATTATATATAGGCGCTATACACTGTAGCCCAGCGCTATAGAAAGGCTTCCTAATGAGGTTTATCCTTATGCAGGGCTTGGCCGCCCATGCATCGAGTCGAGAAAAACAAGATGAGGCACATGCTTTGAAATAGCTGGACTGCAAGACAGCTTCTCACCACCTTATGAGATACTTAATACCATACCCCACCTTAAGAGACCCTTGGCCCACTCAAGGCCCGTAACCAGGGGCCAGGCAGACAGCCCAGTCCTGAAACCCACACCAGCCCATAAATTAGTCATGCTCCTGATGAATGGGCTCAGCAAGCAGTGCCAATAAAGAGATCCAATAACCCAAACGGCCTGAGGTTAATCTCGGCAAATGCTTTAGAAAGATCAATGGGTTCTTCTTTTTTTAATATACGAATATCTAGGTTCTTCTTTGTATTTGTTTATTTAATCTGGTATTCGAATAATGCGTATGTGTTTTGAAATTAAACAAATACAGTACTGTGCACAAGTCAGACAACACCCTTCATTTATTTAATTTCCAGCCAAAATGGCTAGTTATTCATTTTTCAGCATAAGGGAAAAAGCAGAAAACATACAATTACACCTTCCATTCTTTTCGGGAGGCTTGCTTTCAGTTTTTCAAAGAAATCTGCAGGGATGTTTTTCCACACCTCCAAAGTTCAGTCTTCGAGTTTGGTTGCATTTTCTGCTTCTCACCATCCAAGTAATCCCAAACACATTCAGTGATGTTGAGGTCTGAACTCAGGGGTGGTCAGTCCATTGTTCTGAGAACACCAGCAACTTCTTTGTTTGATTTGCTTTCTTGTCTATTTCCTTTTCTCTTCACAGCTACATGTCCTTTCAGACCCATAGCACAGAGTTGTCTTCTCACAGTGGAAGGATGGACTGTGGATTTGATTCAGATCTGCAGCAGCTTGATTTTCTCCTCTCTTTTAAAAATGAAAGCTTTACTGTTTAGCTGATGGTGACAGACTAGTGGTCTACCACGTCTTCCAGGTGGTTGTTAGGAGCCTCATTTTCTCTGTATCGTTTTAATCATTTTCAAACTCTAGTTCTGTTTTTCATTTCCCTTATTTTCCTCTGACCTCTCCCTTCCTTATGCAAGTGGATTGTCATATCTAATCTCCTCAGAAACATCTTCTTATAACTTAATTGCTACCGAACGGTGTTTTCTGTTTTTTGCAGTGCTGTATTTCTGCTCTTCTCAAACTTGTATATCCCGTGTCAGGTTTTATTGTCTTGTGTTCCTGCTCATTCTCACTCTCTTGCGTTTCCTGTAGGCCGAAAGTGCCGCTGCAGAGGAAGCCAGTCGTCAAAGTGAGTCGAGGAGGAAAAAGCAGCTTATTTCATAACTGATAGCATTTTTCTTCTGTTCACGTGCTACACGGCGGTGTGAAGTGCATGGCTTGTCATAATTTTATGAACAGTATCTGTGTATTATTCTAAAGCTTAGCACTGTCTTGTTTCTTTTTCCCCTTTTAAGGCCAGTGGGACCAGTGGGGGTTTCTGACCCAGAAGCAGCTAGGGGTGAGAGGTCTTCATTGTGTTGTCATTGAGTGTACACCTCATACTCATTCACTATCAGCATGATGGGAAGAAATGCGTGACGGTGTACATTACCAAAGCACATTTGATAGCTTTCATCATTGATGTAACGTAACTTTGTATTTCCCAAATGGAAACTTTATACGAAAAGAAAGAAAACTTCTTATAGGGGAATTCCCATGATATTTATTTTGTTTTTATCTTCTGTTTTGATGTGGAGTGGTGCATTCTAGAGAATTTTACTAGGTTTCCTTACAGCAGTGGTGACAGGAATCAGGAACCAACAATAGCCATTTTATTTACTATCCTAAACCACCAGTGAAACTACACGTCTTTTGAGTACTAATTTGTAATGTTGATGATAGTAAAATGTGGTAAATCTGAAAAAAAAATTCTTCGGGGAAGATTTTGCATTACAGCATCTTGCATGCGTCACTTTGCCACAAGAGGCTTTAGGCCTAAAAGTTGTCTCTAAACTATCATAGAAAAACATATCAGGCAACATATCTGTAACCGTTTTGCATAATAGCTTCCTGTGGTGGAGGTTTTGGAAGCGTTAAACCCTTCAGATGTCTGATTTCTATCACTACTACTCTGACTGATTCTGATTCTCTAGAACATTCTCTAGAGCGTTTCACATCAAACCATTTGCTGACAATAAATGTGAAGTTATGACTCCTTCATTGCAGGTAGAAATTAAGCTTGAACATGCAGAAAACAGATGAGCAGGTAAGTATTTACCACTAATTTTACATTATATATTCTCTTTAACAGCATGTTAAATACAAACCTCATTTCCAAAAAGTTTGTGATGTAACCACGCTGTTGTAACACGTGCAGAATATGGCTCAGCGTTTTATTTTCAAATAAGCTTGGATGTCCCTGAAAAAGATGTTGTCCAGAAGGCAGCATATGTTGCTCCAAAATATCAACACATCAGTGTTAAAAGTGCTTTCATTTTATGCTGATAACAGTCTGGACGGTCCTTTACTTGTTTGGCCTGGAGAACACGTTCAGTATTTCCGTAAACAATCTAAAAGGTTGACACGTCAGACCACAGTACACATTCCCACTCTGCATCAGTCCATTTCAGAAGAGTTTGAGCCCAGAGAAGTAGGTGGCGTTTCTGGATGTTCTTGACAAGCCTTCTGCTGTCTTAACTTGCATTTGTTCATGCAGCGACGCATGGTGTGTATTGCTAATGGTTTGTCAAAGAATTCACAAGCTTATGTGGTGAAATTCCTCACAGCATTCTGGTTTTTAATGCTTGATTGAGGAACACGGTTAAACGTTGGATTATTCGATGACGCATTTTTTGTAAACTGGCAAGCCTCAACCATCCTTGCTCATAAAGCACTTTCCTGGATGCTCCTTTAATACCCAAGCACAATTGCATTACCTGCTTAAGATGTTTTTTGAACATTTTACAATGTTCCTAGTCTTAAACTGTCCCTGTCGCAACTTTTTTGGAACGTGTTCCAGGCGTCAATTTCAAAATGAGTGCATTTACAAACAATAAGATGTTAGACATTAAATATCTTTAAAACATTGTCTGTAAGTGTATTTATACTGTTTTTGTTTAAATGCAGCTCAAATTTGACCTACAAATCACTGCTTTCTGTTTTTTATTTCTATTTCACATACTGCTCCAATTTTTTTGGAACTGCAGTTCATGCACATTGTGAAGAGTACCATTCAGTTTCTGGCAAATTAACTCTACATGTTTAGCCACAAAATCCCCAGTACTGAATGAACTTTTAGTGTCTACACCAGGCATGTCAAACCAGAGACCTTCGGGGCCAAAGTGCTGCAGAGATTAGTGTTTACACTTCTCCATTCCTCTGAATTCAGTTCATGAAGGCCTTGCTAATTAGCTGATGAACTGAATCAGGTGTGTTTAATGAGGCAGTATGCTGAAATCTGAAGTGTTTCGGCCTGCAAGAACTGGAGCCAATCCTGCCAATCCTATTAAATGCATTTTGATTATAGATTAAGACTGAGGTCTTTATTTGCTCCCTCCACTCAACAAGATGACGGAAAACCTCTGCTTACATGCTCACTACAAGTAATCAGATCCAAAATTACGCACATGCGTTGAGAACCACTTAGTGTAGACGTTACCATGACAACGAGCATCATGTGAGTCCAGTCAGAGTGAGATGAGCAGCAGTGAGCAGTGCTTGTGTTTTTAATTACTTTAAAATGATGTCACACCCAGGAAAACGTCCTTCACATGTCCTTATTAAAGAAGGCCGAGAGGAAGACGTCGTGTTCTGAGACACATAAGCTGGACGTCCGTCCCACCGCCGTCCTTTAAAGATCAGAGCATAAACTTCGTCTCCTCTGCAGACCAGTTTCTTCTCCCGCCATGTTGTAAACTTTCACTATGACACAAACGAACATGCGCAGAACGTACTTAAACTTTCCGATTGGGAATGTAATCGGATACAGGCGTTTAAATAGATATTATTCTTCTGTTTAACAGATTGGATTACCCACCTCGTTCAATCGGATAGAAACTGTATTCTGAATGGCCTCATCAGACTAATCTGTTCTGATTGAGGTGTATACATGGATGTATTCAATTCCGATTGAGCTATTAATCGGATTATTAACAGATTATCAGGCTGCATGTAAATGTGGCTAGTGGTCTCCAACCTTGGTCTTGGAGAGCTACCTTCCTGCAGAGTTTAGTACCAGCCTGCACCCAGTAAGCTGCATCGCCTCTTACTTAAGTCTAATTCATCTCTTCCAGCTAATCAGGGACTTGGGAAGAGGTTGAATAGGTGGAGCAGATGTGGCAAATTGTGGTTGGAACTAGGCTATGCAGAACAGTAGCTTTCCAGGACCAGGGCTGGAGACCACTGATGTCATTCAACACTCCAGTGGAGTTTCAGCTGTGTTGATACAGTGTTGATCTATTTCACATGTGTCAGGCTCCAGTCCTCACAGGCCAAAACACTGCACACTTCAGCACGATGCCTCATTCAGCTCATCAGCTAATTAGCGAGGCCTTCATGAACTAAATAAATAAAGCGTTAGATGAGGGTAAACACTAATCACTGCAGCACTTTGGCTCTAAAGGTCCCCAGTTTGACATACCTGATCTATTTGCTGTGAAACATTTCATTTTATTAATTAATCTAATTTATTTATGGCTTTTTGTGATAGCACACCTTGCCACCAGAGGGAGACTTACAACACTGGCACCCTTGTGATCAGCAGCAGCAGCAGCAGGATGACTGAAGGCTATAAACAATCTGCTTCTTCTTCTTTTCTTGTGTGTTTCCCACTTTTCCCACACTGCCTGTTTTTCCTCACTGTCGGACACTGCCTTGTCTTCACCTCTGCATTTGCTAGACACGTTATCCTGAACAGATGTGCAGGTGATCTTTAGCTATGTTTAGTTGAGATTATGATTTAGTAGAGATTGAGGCAAAACGTCTTTGTTAAAACCTACAACGTCTTATTTAGACTTCTGTAGCATGTAGAATGTTCAGGCAGCATTCACTTTTAAATTGTAGCATTTTATACATTTTGTAAAGTCTTTTCATTGTTGCAATGATTCACTGTTGAGCTAAATCATTAAGTGTAGAGAACACCAGCTGTCCTGTCAAATAAATTTTCTTTAGTAGGAATATGCAGTGGTTTATTGTGGTGCAAATCCTATGCATGAGAAATGGTCTAGTCTATGGTACTGAAAATAAGGACTGCAAAAAGTAATTTATTTAATTTCCAGTCAGAAATGATTTGTTGCTATTTTCAGTGTCAGGGAAAAACAGCACTTGGAAGCCTTGACAACGAAAGATAACTTGTCCAGTATTTAGTGCGTCCACTATTTTCTTGTTTTACAGCTTTCATTCTTTTCAGGAGACTTGCTTTTAGTTTTTCAAAGAAATCTGCAGGGATATTTTTCCCCGCCTCTAAAGTTCAGTCTCAGAAGTTGGTTACAATTTTTGCTACGTGATATGTCATTTTTTTTTTTTTTTCTTATCTGTAACAGTAACTGTGTATGTTTTCAGATCTGAAGCAGCTTGATTTTCTCCTCTCTCTCAAAGATGAAAGCTTTAAGTGCTGTTTATCTGATGGGGACAGTTTTGGTTGGTCTACCGGGTCTTTTGCATGGTAGTTAAAAGTCCCTGAACTTACTTTCTATTTATCTTTTAAAAGTCTTTTTGGAAACTCCTGGTTTTTCCCCTTATTTTTATTTGACATATATAAGTAGATCATCTTATATCTAATTTCCTCAGAAATATCTCCTGAAAAATGAATAACTTGCACTTGATGGCTGAATATTTAATACATGAATGGTGGATTTTGACTTTTGTACTGTATACTAAATATATTTGAATGTATACTCGCCAACACTAGAGGTTTTGGGATTTCTGCGGTCAACTGCAGGCCATCAGGTGATTAGCCATGTACACTGCACTATTTACAAAGTGTTAACCAAATCTACATTCAACATGAGGCCCAAAAGGGTGGCACATAGTGTATTCTTTGTCTAGCTTTGAGTAATTTGGCCCAGTGGCATTACTAAAGAAAACTAAGGGAAAGAGAAAAGGCCTCACTTGTCTCAGCTGCCTAGACTAGTGAAAATCTACTGTATGCCAGGACAGATTCTGAACTCGATTTTGAATAGCTTGAAAACTTTTTCAACATAATTAAATGCTTTAGATGTACACTCAGTCACTCAGAGTGGTTTGATGTGAAATGCTTTTAGAGAAACCCAGCCAGAATTGTTCACAGTGGTGGTGATAATCTGAAGCATTTAATGCCTCTGAAACTACGTAACAGAAGGTTATTACATGAAATTGTTATAAATATTTTACTTGATTCCTAAAACATTGTTTTATGATGGGTTTGAGGGAAGATTTTGGCCTAAAACATATTTTATAAACCACATTTATGGTGGAAACGTACATGCAGGCATTATAAGGCAAAACTGTTCACCACTGGCATTATCAGCATTAAATACAAAGAGACACACAGTTTGGTCATATTGGTTGGCAAATAACACGGCTATATGTGCGTTGTAGACTTTGCGACCCCTGGATCCTATCAGCATTGTAAGAGCCAGTGGGAGTGAATGTCTCCATTTCACATCAAACCACTCTGAACGACTTTGTTTACATCTTAACAAGTTGTTGGTACAGAATTAACCCTAAAAAGGGTAAAGTTCCCTTTTTAAGGTTAGAGATTGGTGGGACTAAGTTTAGGTGAGACTAAAAGGGGAATTCAACTGACGTTTTTCAAAATATGTGCATAATTAAATGGTTAAGATGTCAACAAAGTCATTCAGAAAGGTTCAGTGTGAAATGCTCCGTTCTAGAGAAACTTACCAAGTCCGAATTGTTTACAGTGGTGGTGATAGGAACCAGACGTCCACCTGTAAAAGCTCCCTCACGGACATTTATATGGTTGCCAATGCCTGATGTCTGAGACATTGCTTTACCTAGGGTTTGAGATAAAGGTTTGGCCTAAAACTTATATTTTCAATAAGCCATTCATGGTGGAGCGTTACCGTGTTAATCGTGGAGGGTTACCACGATTTTACCACCAGCAAAATTACATAGTTCACTGGCCATTTTGTAAATAAAAGGGCGTTTTTGCACTGTAGACAGTGAGACCCCTGGTTCCTATCACCACTGTAAAGAATTCTAAGTTGCCAAGTTTTTCTACAGTAAATCATTTCACATCAAACCACTATGAATGACCCAATGACAGAATTATACAGATTTTTTTTTTCTAAAAATCGGTTGAATTCCCCTTTAAGGTGATCCCCAGAATTTCTGTAACATTCCTGTAGGACTCTTGTACTAAACAAGGACAATTACTCTAGTTTACTATAGTGTACTACACAGGTATTGGAGAATGTAATAAAAGACTAATACAGGAATAGAAATCTTACAGTTTCTTATTTAATTACTCCAGTTTTTGTTTATAAGGCATGTTAATAGATATGTAGTTTAAGTTAATAATAAGCTAACCATCCACAACATCTCCAGCAGACTGAGCTGTGGGGTTTCCCCCGCTTCCTTCCAGGGGCGCTTTCAGCACAGGCAGCACCACCGCATTCAGCTGCGTTGTTTGTATTCCCACCGTATTCCGTCAAAGCCCCGCTTCCTGAACGTTCATTGGCTGATCATATCCCGCCTCCTGCGCTGTGATTTGTTAGTTGTTTACGCTCATAAGCAGCCCGCCTGAAGTGCGTTGTTACACAACAGCGCCCTCTAACCGCACAGTCCAGCACTGCCCATAGCTGAAGGGGATTAATAACCGTCCCTGCCTCAAACACATCAGTGAGTGTGTTTACATGCACTCAATAATCCGATAAATGCAGAAAATCAGATTTTGTCAGTTATACGATCAACACGTTTACATGCACTTGAGTAATCAGATAATGGGGAAACTCCGGGTGTACATGAGTCAGACAGTACTCAGATTTCTGTTTTGCAACCAGCCAATAAACTCACAGAAGAAGACGTGACGTAAACGTAACGTAAAACTCGAACTTCAGACCACTTTACCTGAAAACATGAACAAACATCATCTAGAAGATGAAGAATATTTAAGTCCTTTATTTCGTGTTTGGTTTCAGCGCTGCTCCAAAAGTATTTTGCTGCCATCCGCATCCACCGTCTGTTCTCGCGCATGCGCAGACTGAGAAATCCGATAGAAATCGGAGTTCACATGCACTGAGAAATCTGATTACTGATTACTACCATTTGAATAATCTGATAACTGCAGAAATCTGATTTTGATCGGATTATTGAGTGCATGTATACGCAGTCAATGTTAAAGGAGTAATCAGATATGAAAAAAGAGAAAATAAACCGAGGCATCCCTTAAATTAAAACGTCTTTAATGTACTGACGTGTCATAGCTGGACTGTTAAAAAATGGCCACGAGTAACGGCTCATGCCTTCTTTTGTCCAGCTAGAACATGTCAGTACATTAAAGACGTTTTGATTTAAGTGTCTTGGTTTGGAGAGTTTTTTTTCCCCTCAATTTTTTCTGATTTAAAATTTTCCCTTGACACCAAAGATCATAGGATTTAGACAAAGTTTTTGTTTTTTCCAATTTAGAGCACGGCTACCCAGATAGCATATATTGGTCCGCATATATGGCTTGATAAGGTCGGCACCCCGACACTGCTGGTCCACCCTCTGACCACCCAGATTACTGTCCAGCATACAAGCTCTAACTTTTTTTATCTCCCCAAACAGATTTTAAATGCACAGACTTTTATTTTAGAGAATAAACTTAGACAAATATTACACACAACTGAGAGAGAAAAAATAATGACTTGGCCTGATATAAAATGATTTTACAGAAAATGTAGTTGACACTGTGCTGGATTAAAATTACTCACGAAACTACTAATTTATAAACTATAACTAAAGAAAAGAAAGTAAATCAGTAATTTGGACTCTGAATGGAAAGTGAGTGATGATTAACCACCGGTGGACCGCCCAGAAAACGATGAGCAAAACGCCATCGGACCGCCAGCTTTGCCATCAGTGGGCCGACAGTGGTCCGCTATGCTCTTGCTATCAGGGTACAACTATCTCTCCAGAATAATCCAACATTTTTGTTTTAGCGTTTTTAAAAACAGTTTTGGTGCTTTGTTGTGAAATGCAGGCTTCCAAAATAAGATATTAGCAGAGAAACATCCACAGAGTGTAGAACTTCAGTTTCAGCTTCAGAATATGGGCTTTTACAACCACCAGAATAAACACAACTCAACAGCACCACATACTCAGATTATCGTGCGAATTACGAATGAGCACTTTTTTTATTCGTATTGATGTTTTAATAGCTACTAATCTGGTCATACTTACTTAGATTATTTCATGTTCCTCCGCCGATATTGAGAAAAACATGCAGCCACACGACATTCAAAGCAGTAAAATAGTCCCTGGTTAAATACAATATTACATGTATTCTCTTTCTTCCACACTGTAAGCTGGAAATAGTAGCCGCTGTTTGAGAACATTAGTGGTGAGTTTTTAAAGAATATTATATAATTAGTCATATCTCACTTCAAAATCACACATTTGACTAATAAATCCGACAAATAACTCTGAAAAAAAGGAAACGGCTCTAGTTTATCGTGTTCCTGTGTTCCTCCGCCTGAGAGGGCGGGAAAAGGGTGGCACACAGAACCGAATCACTATCACAACATTCAAAGAGGCGCAGTAAAATAGTCCCAGACAAATGACATTATTACAGGTTTTCTGTTCCTTCTCATGTCTTAATCTAAGAGTGAAGGCAGAGCTGTTGGAGATGATTACACCACTGTACACCATAGTAGTATGTATGGAAGTGCATTTCTGGTAGAGGAGAAAAAATGGCTATGTATTTGTATTACGTATTGTCTCGAAATAATGACTTTTCTCGAGAAATACGTCATTGCAATGTTATTACATTTCAAGAGAATGGGTAATAATTTCGGGATAAGGCATTATTCAAATAGTAAGACAGTCAAAACTTTGAGAAAACAAGTCGTTATTTCGAGATACTAAGTGAAAACATGTGCTTCCACATGTGAAAGTTCTTAAAAGCAGCTTTGATTTCGTCTTCTATGACCTATGAAAAGAAAGTTATTTACATCGTAATGTCTTCAGTTTCAACGTTTCGCAAACAAATCCGCCAAATTTATTTTTAATTAATCATTTTAAAAACGTGAAAAATATAATTCTTGAGGAAAAAGGTTGGGCAGTGCTCGTTTGCGTTCCACAGGCCACGGCATGGAGGCGGCGAGGTGTTTTTAAGCTGAGAGGTGCTGAAAATTTTAGCAGTATATGCGTGACGTGACTGGTGACGTCATGCAAAATAATACGCCTTTTTTATTTTTATTTTTTTGATGATTTACATTAAACAGATCGTGTCATGAGGTGCTATAACATGGCGAGAGACGACAGCCCTACTGGAAAAAAAACATAGAAACCATTAAGTGCATACTCTTTCTCTACTGTATGAATTTTATGCAAATGAGTCGAGTGACGTCCAATCAGATTGTCGATGTGAGGCGCGGTAACCAATGGTGTCACTCCTACAGTCACTCACTGTAACGCACACCCAGCGAGAGGTCGATATAACGGCTGATATAAAAATAATGAATTTAACGTTCATTTCTTAAATTAAAGAAAAAGCTTTTGGGCTCAGAAATGTCCAGCAGCTCTGCACACACACTCCCTCTTTGCACCTCAACCTGCGTGTGCTTTATTGACGCGCCCCAAAGCGGCCAGCAGGGGGCGAGGAAAGCGATTCGGCTCGATTTAATCAAAATCGGCTTAAGTAGTTTTTTCGTGTATCTGTACTTTACTGAAGTATTTACATTTTGGGCGACTTTTTACTTTCACTCCACTACATTTCAAAATAGCTCACTTTTTACTCCACTACATTATGAGAAATCTGTCGTTCCTTTTGGTTTATGTGTGTATAAAAACGTAACATGTCAAAACGAAAGAAGAGTAAAGCAAAAACACCAATCAGGGCACAGCGCGCACTTAGTTTTGAGCTTGTTTTGACCTGTTGGACACACCTACCCAGTGCAGCACACGGTTCAATGGGAGAGTCTATTCCAGCTTAAATTATGAACTGACCTAACTTTGTGTAAATAGACCACAATATAGAAATATGTACACATATGCAGTTGTGACTGACATTTCTTTTTTTCTGAATTTATACAAAGATTATTTCATTTGTTGTAGATTAGTTTTGGCTAGTTTATGTTTATGAACAGAGACCTACAGATGCAGTTTAGTGAAGTAAAACTCATTTGTGAATCTGAGTTTAAAGCAAGTTTTTATTAAACTTAAACTTGTAACTAAGTTGCAAATAAATCTTAAACTGACACTTTGCTTGTTTGCAAAAGGTTATTTCAGAGCCACTCAGTTCTACCTAATGGAAACTGTTTACCTTCAGTGTTTTGTGCTTATGATAATTTTAATAGACATCAGTGAGTCTTGTTACAAAAACAGTAATAGGACATTAAAGTCATAATTAATCTTTTAGTACTTTTACTTCCGATACTTAAGTACATTTGAAGGCAAATACTTTTACTCAAGTGGAGGTCTAAAGGGAGGAACTTCTACTTTTACTGGAGTAATTTTTTACCTTGGGTATCTCTACTTTAACTCAAGTACATGGTTTGTGTACTTCGTCCACCGCTGATAAAAAATACACTGTTTATATAAACAGTGCTGCCACTGCAAGTTTTTAAAATATAGTATAAACACAAAAACACAAGCTCCACTCTAGAATAAGCAGATATAGGTCTTTATTACGTTCAAATTCGTTTCAAATTCAGATATTTTTGTTTGTTTAGATGTTTGTTTAGCAGTTGAACACTTATTTGTAGCAGTTGCAGTTTTTTTTCTCTTGGGACGGGGAGGTTTCTTCAGTTTTCTGGCGCTTCTGACACTTTGCCGCTAGAGGGCGCAGGTTAAGACTGGGCTTTGATGGCATATGAAGAGCAGATGCGCTTCTCCTTCACTCCACTCCTCAGAAAAGCACCGAGTCACACAGAAGAGAGAGAAACTGAGGAAAAGCCCGTCCCAGACACAGCACTGCGGTCATGGCGACTTCAGAAGGTTTGTACACGCTAAAGACTCTGTATTTGTTACTGGTGTTATTATAAAATATCCCTGTATTCGCATGCAAAGGCATTTAAACCATGTGAACTAATATATATATATATATATATATATATATATATATATATATATATATATATATATATGGAACTTTCCGTTCCACCTTAAACAGTGCACAGTTACATTGAGGCGCCTGTCTAACTGCTGCACCATTTAAGGTGGAACGGAAAAATTCGAAACTGTAGCTACGTTAACAGCAATCACTGCAGGTGTGCTGTAAATTTCTTCCTTTACTTTGTAAAATCTTCTTAGTTCTGTTCAAAACCGAACACTTACTGCTGAAATCGTTTAACTGAGTTACTAATAGCTCAATTTTGGGGGGGGGCGGTGAAACTGGGCTGGGCTGCAGCAAACCGAGCTCACTAAAATGCGAAGTTCAGCAAGAAACAGCCGAGTGGGAAGCTGTTCTCTCCATTTTGGGCACTTCTTACACATCTTACATAAACTGACCCGTTTCTCAGCCTCTGCTCGACCACTGGCGATGAACTCATTGACTAATCAGACGTACAGCTGATCAGTGGACCCTCACAGGCTGGAGTGTTCTGCCTTGCTGTTGTGTGAAGCCACTGCAGAGAGCACTGCATCCTTTTTCGCTGAGCTTGCAAGTCCCCCTGGACCCTGCAGCCCATCGATCTGCCAGACTGCTGAAAAAAGGGCTGTACATTGAGGACATTATGCTGATTTGAGTTACAGTTTATTACCAGAGTAATTACTACATGGATTAACCCTCCACCCACCACATTATATACTATTGATATGCTTAGTGGAAAGTGTAGTGCACTAATAACTTGACATGAAATATGAGTATGGATGGGGATCAGAAAACCCTGGATCAGATGTCGGACCATCATTTCGATCCAGTCCTGAAACAGTCAAATTGGATCACTTGAATCTTGAAATCTCAAGTCTAAAAATCAGATTCAAGATGTGTGTGTAAACACACCCTCAGTGAAGTGCTTCAGTTAAAAAGAGCCCATTTTAAAGCTTAGTAGTTTTAAAGAAGAAATATTGGATAACTTACTTTCTCCAGACTTTGAGAAACTATATAGTGGAAATAGTGGGGTTTACATTTTAAGAAATTAAGTCATTATTTATCAATTAATCCAGTAGTTTGAGAAAGCAATTATTTTGTTACAGTAAGTCAGTATCTAGAGAATCATTATTTTGAGATAATAAGTCAGAATTTTGAGAAAATTAGTAACTTTTCGAGATACAAACCACTATTTATAGAAATTAAGTCATTGTTTTGAGATACTAAGTCAGTGTTTTGAGTAAATAAGTCAGTATTTCAAAATGGCTGTCAATATTTTTAAAAATTAAGTAATTATTTTGAGATACTGTGTCAATAATTTGAGAAAATAAGTAATTATTTCGAGATGCTAAGTCAACAGTTTTAGGAATCAAGTCGTTTTCAGATATTTAGTAAGTATTTTGAGAAAATAAGTCGTTATTTTAAGATGCTAAGTCAATATTTTTTTAGAACTTAAGTCAGTGTTTTGAGATACTAAGTCAGTGCTTTGAGTAAATAAGTCAGTATTGAAAAATACAGTCAATATTTGTAAAAATTAAGTCATTATTTGGAGGTACTATGTCAATATTTTGAGAAAAGTAATTATTTCGAGATGCTAGGTCAACAATTTTAGGAATTAAGTCATTGTTTTGAGATACTAAGTCAGAGTTTTGAGTAAATAAGTCAGTATTTCAAAACACAGTCAATATTTTTAAAAATTAAGACATTATTTTGAGATACTACATCAATATTTTGAGAAAATGAGTGATTATTTCGAGTTGCAACATCAACAATTTTTGGAATTAAGTCATTATTTTAAGATACCAAGTCAATATTTTGAGAAATCAAGTAATTATTTTGAGATGCTAAGTCAATATTTTTAAAAAATTAAGACATTATTTTGAGATACTGCATCAATATTTTGAGAAAATGAGTGATTATTCTGAGTTGCAACATCAACAATTTTTGGAATTAAGTCATTATTTTAAGATACTAAGTCAATATTTTGAGAAATCCAGTAATTATTTTGAGATGCTAAGTCAATATTTTTAGAAATTAAGTCATTGTTTTGATATACTAAGTCAGTCTTTTGAGTAAATAAGTCAGTATTTGAAGATACAATATTTTGGGAAAATGCATGAACCAAAATATTATGACCCCCTGCCTAATATGCGTGCCACCAAAACAGCTCTGACCTGCGGAGACATGGACTGTACAAGACCTCTGAAGGTGCCCCCTGGTAACTCGCAGCAAGATGTTAGTAGCCGATCCTTTAAGTCCTCTAAGTTGCGAGGTGGAGCCACTGCAGCTCGGACTCCTTGTTCCAGCACGTCCCACAGATGCTGCCTCGGATTGAGATCTGGGGAATTTGGAGGCCTGGGCAACACCTTGAACTGTTCTTCATGGTCCTCAAACCATTCCCGAACAAAGTGTGCAGTGTGATAGGGCCCGTTGTCCTGCTGAAAGAGGCCACTGTGCTACGGTGTACCTGGTCCACAACAATGTTAAAGTAGGTGGCACATGCCAAATTGACGTCCGCATGAATGCCTGGATCCCGGGTTTCCCAGCAGGACATTGTGCAGAGCATCACACTCCCTCCACCGGCTTGTCTTTTTCACACAGTGCATCCCGTGTGCCATCATTTCTCCAGGATAGCCGCCGTCCACATGATGTAAAAGAAAGACTTGTTGGACCAGTTGACCTCCTTCCATTGCTCCATGGTCAGTTCTGATGGTGGATATACGGAGATTTGAGATTGTATGTTGCTTAAAATAGTTCATAGCTAAATCTAACTTTTGCATGGCTAGCGATTTACACCCTACCGTTCATAAAAGAGGTCTTTTATTACATTTACATAATAAAAGTCCTCTGTAATGTATTACAGTCCAGAGTGTCTATCTGTGGTGCTGACATTGTCCCAAAGCAGCATTGCAGATCCCTAATGAGTGTCCCTGAGAGCAGCAGTGTCAGAAAAAGGGGCAAAGAAACACTGAAAGCTGTAAAGTGTCTTTAGTGCTACAAAGAAGCTGATAAATATACTGTCTTCACAGAGTCACTGTGGGTGGATCAGAGTGCCTTTGAATATGGTAAGTACCAAAGCACAGAAGCAAAAACACCTTAAACCTCAAGCTTATTCTTCAGAAAATTAATGCTAAAAGTCTTTGAGAGTTAATGTTATTATTCTGCTACACATTTGATTTATGCGAAACAGGTATATATGTGTAGATATATATTCATAGTTAATCATATAGTTTCATAATAGATTACACTTACAATTGATTTTCATTTTCTGTCTACAACTCTTAACATTTTCAGCTTGTTTAGATGTCAAGAAAAATCAAAGCCATGACAAAAGCAAATGTGGTATGGGTTGAAAGTTGAGAATTTTTCCCTTTTTTGAGCTGCAATGTTGGCAAAAGTGTGACCACGATTCATTTAATTTCCAGTCAAACCAGCCATTCAGTACAACCCCATTTCCAAAAAAGTTGGGGCGCTGTCCAGAATGTAAATAAAAATAGAGTGCAATGATCTGCAAATCATGAAAACCATATTTTTAAAGGAAAATACTACAAAGACAACATATCAGATGATGAAACTGAGAAATTTGCTGTTGTAATACATGCAGAATGTGGTTTGACATTGTCTTTCTGAAATAATCAAGGCCTTCTCTGAAAAAGACGTCTTCTGGATGGCAGCACATGTTGCCAAAACATGTTTATATCGTACAGCATTAATGGTGCCTTCACAGATGTGCACGTCATCCATGCCCCAAGCACTAATGCCCCCTACACCATCATGAATATTGGCTTTTGAACTGTGCACGTTATTATATTTAGCTGTTGAGGCGTCTATGTATGTACATACACCAATCAGGCATAACATTATGACCACCGCCTTGTTTCTACGCTCATTGTCCATTTTATCAGCTCCACTTACTATATAGGTGCACTTTGTAGTTCTACAATTACAGACTGTAGTCCATCTGTTTCACTGCATACTTTGTTAGCCCCCTTTTAACCTGTTCTTCAGTGGTCAGGACCCCCATGGACCCTCACAGAGCAGGTACTATTTGGGTGGTGGATCATTCTCAGCACTGCAGTAACACTGACGTGGTGGTGGTGTGTTAATGTGTGCTGTGCTGGTACGAGTGGATCAGACACAGCAGTGCTGCTGGAGTTTTTAAACACCTCAGTGTCACTGCTGGACTGAGAATAGTCCACCAAACAAAAATATCCAGCCAACAGCGTCCTGTGGGCAGCGTCCTGTGACCACTGATGAAGGACTAGAGGATGACCAACACAAACTATGCAGCAACAAATGAGCTATCATCTCTGACTTTACATCTACAAGGTGGACCGTCAAGGTAGTCGTGTCTAATAGAGTGGACAGCGAGTGGACACAATGTTTAAGAACTCCAGCAGCACTGCTATGTCTGATCCACTCGTACCAGCACAACACAGACTAGCACACCACCACCATGTCAGTGTTACTGCAGTGCTGAGAATGATCCACCACCCAGATAGTACCTGCTCTGTGAGGGTCCATAGGGGTTCTGACCACTGAAGAACAGGGTAACAAAGTATGCAGAGAAACAGATGGACTACAGTCTGTAACTGTAGAACTACAAAGTGCACCTATATAGTAAGTGGAGCTGATAAAATGGACAATAAGCGTAGAAACAAGGCGGTGGTCATAATGTTATGCCTGATTGGTGTGTATGTATGTTTTCTGCTTTTCCTGATGCTGAAAAACAAACAGCTTGCATTCAACTGTTGACTTTCTGATTGATTTGATTGTTTTGACTGGAAGTTAAAAATGAAGGTTGGTCTCATTTTTAAAGTGTTAGATGTTTCCTGCCATAGGGGACCTAACAGACACATTGAGTTCTGCTATGAATTACACAGTAATCACAATGAATATGATAAGATAAGGTACTGTAGTAACTGAATTGTGTACATTAGTTACAGTCCTGCTCACCATTATTGGCACCCCTTCCTTTTTTGCATAACCTGTACAATATCTTCAGAAATAAATGTAAATGTACCAAAGTTATATCTTCAGGATTTTTTAATTGTAGGTCCAAAGTAATATAACAAAAAAAAACATTGTTTTTCAACTTGCATGTTGCAATTTTAAAGAAGAAACAGAATAAACAGCATGTGCAGCAATAAAGGCACCCCTTGTTAATATTTGGTTGCACACCCTTTGGCTGTGATGACAGCCCCCAAACGTTTCTTGTAGCCATCTATAAGCTTCTTTCACTTCTCAGCTGGTATTTTTTCCCACTCTTCCTTTGCAGTTTGTTCAAGCTCTTGAATGTTTGCAGGATTCTTTTTCCCAATGGCAGATTTCAACTCACCCCAAAGATTTTCAATGGGATTGAGGTCAGGACTCATTGCTGGCCATTTTACAACAGTCTATTTTTTCCTTTTAAACCATTCCCGTGTACTTTTGGATGTGTGCTTTGGGTCATTGTCTTGATGGAATACCCATGATCTTCGGCTCAAACAAAGTTTTCTTACACTGGGTAGGACATTTTCGCTCTAAAATCTCTTGATAATTCTCTGATTTCATGATTCCTGTGATACGGTCAAGGCCTCCAGTACCAGACGCAGCAAAGCAACCCCACAGCATTATGGATCCTCCACCATGCTTAACTGCTGGTAGGGTGTTCTTTTCCTTATAAGCTCCATTGCGCCGTCTGTAAACAAACTGTTGCTTTGCATTGCCAAAAAGCTCTATTTTTGTTTCATCTGTCCACAAAACATTGTCCCAGAATGATTGTGGTTTGTCAAGGTACTCTTTGGCAAAGATCAGTCGTTCCTTTTTATGTCTTTTCTTTAGCAATGGTTTCTTCCTTGGCCTTCGCCCATAAAGCTCTGCATGGTTTAGTGTGCGGCGTATGGTACTTGTTGAAACCATGACCCCAGACTGTTCCAGGTTGGCCTTCAGTTCTTTGGATGTTTGCCTTGGTGTTTTTTCCACCATTCGCACCAACCTTCGAAGACTTCTCTTGTCAATTTTCCTCTTTCCCCCACGTCCAGGGAGGTTCTTGACAGTTCCATGCTTGGCAAACTTCTTAATAACATTGCGCACTGTTGAAACTGGGATACCAAGGTCTTTGGAGATGGCCTTATACCCTTTGGAAGTCTTGTGTTTGCTAATAATAGCACTTCTGATGTCCTCAGACAGCTCCTTTGTCTTCACCATTGTAACAAATGAACATGGCCCAACGTATGGCTTTTTAAAACCCTGAAGTCATCATTCATTGGCTAATTCATGTCACATGGGCACTGAATTTGTCACAGGTGATTATCATTTGCGATTTACCACAGGTGAGTGAAAATGTGTTTCCATACTAATTTAATGTAAAGGGTGCCAATACCAGTGTCACAGCAAGCTTTAGGTTTTTTCTGTTTTTCCCTCACATTGTTTTTTGTTTTAAATTGTTGTTTATAGTTTGCTCTTTTGTTTTAAATATGAGTGCTCTATACAAAAAACTGTTTCAGTTGATTAATTTTTTCAGGGGATATTCCACAATATGCACTTAAACTTCATGGGTGCCAATAATGATGAGCAGGACTGTACATATCAAAACACTGCCAAGTTCCACCAGCTTCAGTTGATGGTTGACCAGTGATCACACTGTGTTTGTAAATGATTTTTCTCTAGACTATGAGACGTTGCGAACCACGGGGGTCATTCTGGCAGTGGTGATGTTTGTAGCCGGGATCCTCATAGCCCTGAGTAAGTTGATTGACCTGCAGCCTAAAACTAGCCTTAACATTTGTTACGTGTCATGTTATGTAGGATTATGTAGCACTGTGTTCCTTAGCTTCATCAGTTTGACAGAAATCCTGATTTTCTGTCATTTTTGTGGTCAATCAATGTTCTTTCACTACGGTACCTGACATGCATTATGCAAATGTGTCATACAACCGAGAATCCCGCACATGATGACAAACGTCCTGACTGCTATCCTAGCTGCTGATGTGGAGCCTAATAAGTACAGAAGTGAAATCCGGCTTCTTTCTGCTTTTTCCAGCTAGTAGAAGGAAAGAAATTCAAATAGCCAACCTGCAAAGCCAGAAGTTCCTCCAATCTTTCTCTGGAGACTCCACACAGCACCACTGTACACTCTTAAAAAAACACAAGGTGCCAAAAAGGGTTCTTTTTCGCTACGTTCACATTACCAGGTTAAAGTGGGACAAATCCGATTTTTTGCCCTAATGTGACTCAGATCTGATGTTTTCAGGGCTGTGTGGACACGCAAATCTGATCTTTTCAAATCTGTCCTGAGTCACTTTCATATGTGGTCCTAGATTGGATACATATCCAGTTCGTGCCCATGAGACGTTTAGATCGGAATTCATGTGCTTTTTTCCCACTGCGCTGTGCCATCATTCAGCGTTACCATGGCAGCAGCGCTGAACAGAAGTTAAAGCCTGTAAACGGTGGAAAAGCAACACATCTAAGCTTTTTCACCTTCGTCTCACTCTAATAATGAAGCTGAGAGCTGATCAGAGTTAATTATCCTCTCAGCGAAGCTCGTTCTGCTCGTTAGTTTGTGCTGATGATGCACGTGATTCATTCACCTGACCATTCACCAAAAGTGGGTTTATGGCATAAGGAACCATTTGTGGCACCATCCAAGTCCAAGTTGAGTCTCAAGTCTTTAGTAGAGAATTTCAGTCGCATTGTTTGCTGCACCTGTCAGGTTCAACAAATAGCAATATAAATTCACTACAATACCCATAATTCAGTGCCATCAGCCCCCATTACTGCATGACTATATTAAAACTGAAAGTCAAAATCACAATCAGTGGTTCTGATTCAGTTAGTTTTGATCATGTTCTTTTCCTCCCGCTGACATTTGGCGACTCTCCAGTTTTAAGTCTTGAGTTAAGACACAAATCAGTTAAGCACGAGTCTGAGTCCAGTCGCGTGTCAGTTAAGCGTGAGTCCGAGTTGAATCGCGAGCCAAATAAGCACAAGTCCGAGTGGAACCACAAGTCTGAGTTGAATTGCAAGTCAGAGTCAAGTCGCAAGTCAGTTAAGGATGAGTTCCAGTGGAATCGCGAGACAAGCTAAGCACGAGTCTGAAAGGTGTTGTAAGTCGGTTAAACATGAGTCTGAGTAGTCTTGCATCAGTCAAGAATCAGTCTGAATGGAGCAAGTCAGAGATGAATCATGAGTCATGTAAGCACAAGTCCGAGTCGAGTCGTGAATCATTTAAGCATATGAGTCAGAGTGAAATCGCGAGACAAGTTAAGCATGAGGCTGAGTGAAGTCGCAAGACAGTTAAGCATGAGGCTGAGTGGAGTCGCAAGTCAGTTAAGCATGAATCTAAGTCTTGTCATGAGTCAGTTAAGGACTAGTGCAAGTGGAGTCGTGAGTCAGTTAAGCACGAGTCTGAGTTGAATCGCGAGTCAGTTAAGCTCAAGTCCAAAAGGAACTGCGAGTTAGTCAAGTACGTGTCCATGGTAAATCACGAGAGAGTTAAGTGTAAGTCTGAGTCGAGTCACGAGTCAGTTAAGCACAAGTCTAAATCGCAAGTCAGTTAAGCCAGAGTCCAAGTCAAGTCCTGAGACAGTTAAGCCGGAGTGAGAGTCGAGTCATGAGTCAGTTAAATGCAAGTCCGTGTCATAAGTCAGTGAAGTGCCCATCCAAGTTGCAAGACAGTTAAGCATGTACCCGAGTCAAGTCACGAGTCAGTTAAGCACATGTCCAAGTTGTGTTGCAGGTCAGTTAAGGGTAACATAGTGCGCAAGCCCTGTTTCTCAATGACTGAGAATTGGCGTGCAGACTGCAGGTCACCTAGCAACGAGGTTTCGCCTGGCTAGTAGCGAACGAAAAGGAAAAGAGAAAGACAGACGAACATTTGGAGATGAACGGACTTATTCGCATTCATAAGCAGCGCAGTTGGTTTCCTGATACGTTAAATCTGCAACGAGAGACTGTCAAACACTATAAAGTTGCAAAGATGAAGTCGCTTCTCTTTCTAATTTTCCCGTTCCACCTTAAATGGTGCCGCATTTATCTTCGGCGCCTCAGTCAGAATTTAAGGTGGAATGGGAAAGTTCAGCAAGAAGCTGGCGAATGAGAAGCGACTTCAGCCTCGTAAAACAGCAAAAAGCTGAAAGACATTTTACCAGAAACTATTCAACTTTTGAAGAAAAGTTTTCTGGCGGAGATGGAAGAAAAGCGGCTGTAGCTGAAGCTTAAAGCAGAGTAGAGTAAGTCCGCGTTTTCGTTTATATTGTTTAGTCTATACTAGGACATTAACACATACTGAGACATACTGGACATTAAATGTTGTGGCTCCCAAGGTGGTTTGATTTTTGTTGAAAGGACAAAATGGCTCTTCTTATCATTTGTGTTGTGACTCCTGATCTAACCTGGCTTTAATGCAGAGGGAGCCGGGCGGATTTCTCACTCATCCAGTAGTGTTTTTGTTATGTGCCGCCACAGACTGTCCGGGTGCTGCACTTACCCACTTCCAAGTTCCGCCCTTTGCGTTCCGTCAACATTACGTTATAAATTAAATATTTAGAAAATCGATTTTTGACGTTGAATGAATCGATTCAGAATCGTGCACGTCCGCATCGCGATGCATCTAAGAATCCGTTTTTTCCCGCACCCCTAATTGCTACAATGTCAAGTTTGTAACAATAGCAGAACCATTTTTGGTGGTGTATAGAACCATTTCATGATGCAAAGAACCTTTTAATCATGCAAAGGGCTCTCTGAGTGTTCATGGTTCGATATAGAACCATTTTCTTTACTAATGAACCCAAGTGTGACAAAGTTATGACATGAAATGGTTATGACTTTGCTGCCTGATGCCTGAGACATTGTTTTAGGATAGTTTTGAGAGAAGATTTTGGAAAATTGCATGGACTTTACATGCAGAGTGTTCTGTGGCTCTACATGTAATCAAATTAGTACCTGGAGAGAACCTATTTTTTGGAGTTCACCACTGGTTTACCATCGTCAGCATTACATATAAAAACTCTGAAGACATGTAGGTGGTTTTGGATAGTAAATAAAATACATTTGCATTGTACTTCGAAACCCCTGGTTCCTATCAGCACCACTGTAACGAAATCGGAGTCTCTACAATGTACCATTTCGCATCAGACCTCTCTGAATGACTTTATTTACATCACGACGACTGAACTATGCAGAGCTTTTAACCCTCAGTGTCACTTGAACCTGATATTCACACCTCATACTCTCTTTAATCTGTTCTCTTCCTGTCATGTTTTCTTGCCTTGTACAGGTAAAAAGTTCAAATGCTCAAAATCGTCCAAGTAAGACCACGCGCACGAGTGTGCAGCCTGCTCTTATGCATGTGGAATGAAAAGATGAGGAGACATACGGAACGAAAGGACCTTCTCCCAGAAGACTCACCTCACTGCAAAAATACCACCTGTTCAAATGCAGCCCAGGGGTTTAAGGCTTGCCAGACCATCTAACAGCTTGGTTTTGCACACAAACACTGTCTGTCCATCTAAACCGAGAGCACTGCATTGAAATGAGAAGTTACAGAGAAAAAAACAAGGAGACACACCATGTTTTGGAGAGAAATGTGTTTATCCAAGCTGTTGTTTTGAATGTGAGCTGTTTACCAGCAGGAACTTCTGGTTTTCCAGAAATCCTTTTTCGGAAAGTAGCATCAACAGCTCGGACAGCTTAAGATGTCTTTATATGGATAGACAGTGTGGATCTGTATTGCGGAAATGCAGAGCATGTTATTCCCTCGGCAGACAAAGTGGCCGACAGCTGCTGCTCACAGTTCTCTCTGGACTAAAACTGTTACCTCTTACCTCAAATGTGGTGGACCAGCCAAGACATATTTGGTGCCTGAAGCTTAGAAACCTACCTGGGTTTTGTCTTGGTGCTAAGAGGCTAATGTAGCTAACAAATAATGGAAGCTACCAGCCAATTGCCTTATTGACATATACCTTATGATTTTTCCATTAACCAATAGATATGTGAATCTACTGCATTTCCTGCTTTAAAAATAATATAGTTATAATATGGTTAGACCATGTGAGCCGGTCAAACTCACAGGGATCTGATAGAAGAGGAGTTCCTGAAATAATGATTTGGTTTCAGGCTGGCTGAGAGTGATTAATCATGATTACTGAACATTCATAAAGATAGAATTCAGTAATTACAGGCAGCTTTTAGGCTAACGCCATTGTACTGGCGGACTATGAAGGTGGTCTGACCTGAGTGAAAGTCCTGTTCCCGGTTTTTATGTGCAGCAACTGACAGCCAGCCAATCACAACTCCAGCTCCAGAAATCAGCAGTAACCAATCATATGTCAGGACCCGCCCACAGCTGTCAAAAATGAATTAAACTCTTGCGCAAACAGAAGCTTAATAGCGAGCAGAAAGAACAGTTCTGTGTCAGGGTAAGTTTTCTTGCACGGGTGGTTGTCTTCACGCGCACGGGTGTGATTTTCGCGCGCGAGAGTGGTTTTGCTCACTCGCAAATTTCTAATTAGGTTTGATGCCATAGAGCTACTACTAATATCCATTGTGGAATTTCTTAGCTGGTTTTGCTGTACATTCCACAGACACAATTCAGTTGTTTGAGTGGGTTGTAGGCCGTCCTTGGGATGCATTCAAATACCACTTCAGTTTGTGCGCATGCTATAAAAACAGCGTAAAACAAACATATACAATACAGTTTTCCCTGTAAACAGTTGCATAGATTTCAAAATCTGACTCAACATGGTTTACATGTGATGGGTTAGGATGCTACAAGGGTTGAAATGGGCTGGAACGCACTGAACACCGCTCTGGGAGTGAAAGCCAGGATTGAACAGTGTTCTGGTCCATTCTGGCCCGTTTCTACCCCTCAAAGCAACCTGCTAGCATCCGACCAGATAACAGTGTGTGAAATGATGTCAGAGACCACGTGAGTCTATTGACAAGGGTTGAGGCAAGTGTTTGCACTATGCTAACAGAAGTTTCCATGACTTGTAGCTCCAGTATAAACTTCAGACACAAATGTGTCTTGGCTGATTGACTGCATTTGGGGTACGGGGGGAAAGTGGGGAAATTGTTGGCTGAAACATGCCGTGATGGGGCTCCTGAGAGGCTCAGCTGTCTCAGCGTTGACCCTACCATCAGGAGATCGTGAGTTTGATCTCCGGTGATGCCGTAGCCATCTGTGGCTGGGAGTCCAAGATAGCATAATTCTATGGGTGGGTAAGATGGCCCTCCCTCTCCCCCATCACTCAGCACGATGCTAGCTCATGTGGGCATCTGTTAGCCGACGTCACAGAATTTGCAGTTAGCGTTCTCCAAATTGAGCTGTCCAATTACATTACATTAGTGGCAGTTTGAGAAGATGCGGTGGTGCTTCATATGTCTCAGGGAAGCATGTGTTAGCCTTCACCCTCCCAGCTTGGTGGCATCGTGTGATGGGGGGAGTGGGAGGAACTGGACTAAATTTGGGGAGAAAATGGATTTAAAAAAAAACAAAAATATAAGTAGTGGTGGCGCGAATGGTGGTGATAATCTACAAGTCGATTTGCCGTATTTGAAAGTTCCTGCTGTGCAAAATGTTTGAAGATGATTGTGGTTCTGCATGCCTGCTGACTGAATGAAGTTTCTGGGAATGTTTTAGTTTGTTCTTCTGTTACTCTGTCAGAACATGATAACTCTACTTCTTGGGTCTCTTCTCTGCAGCTCAAGTCCAGTGGAAGGTCCTCAGCCACCAAAGACAGAAGGTAAAGCTCAGGAAAAACATATTACCACCATACTCAGAACTTTTTGGCACGTTCTTGTACTTGCTGGCATCGCCGGATTTCTGTGATCGGCTAATAATAGGACTGTACACCCTTTATAGGGGAGAGCAGTGTACATTGTAACATAACGCTGCTGTCGGAACAAAACCTTGTATCATTTTTCAGTTTTTGACATAATTTGAAAGTATCCGTTGTTCTTGACATTGTATGTACATTTTGTGATGAATGGACCAATAGAAATGAACCAAAATGACTTAGAAAAAAGTCTGGTTCCATTGACTTACATTAGAAGTAGAGTGTGTTTTTTCCTTCTCCTGTAAAGTTACCATTTTGGAGATATGAGGTCTTGTTCCGACAGCAGCGCTAAGTTTGTCATCTGTAAATGTTGACAATATATAAATTTAAATTCATACTACAGCTGTTCTGTAAATACAACACATTTCAGTTTTATTGTGCTGATATTAGCGCTGTCTACTCTGTGGTCTAAAGTAATTTTGCTACGTTTGACACTCATCATTGACACACGTCTGCTTTCACTAGTCATATTTATTTTGATGAATATGTTTTTATGTATTTAGTCTAGAAAGCTTGTTTGGGTCAAACAATATAAAAATAATTCTATGCTGAAGTAATTGTGTTTTTGGTTAATATACCAGGCTTTTTAGTGACTGTTCCAGTTTCCAGTGCCCCTCAGTTTGTTACAGTTTTAACATTCGCATTCCTGCCACTTTCGTCCGAATTGCTCACACACTGTATGTGCTGGAAACGAGGGTCGATTATATACAAAAATGATTGATCTTGCTCAGATACTTTTAAATTTATTTTAAAAATGTGGTAACACATATCACATCGTCATACAGCACTGTACTGTCTGTTCTTCATTTAATTTCCAGTCAGAACGACTATGAAGCACGAATTATCCATTTTTCAAGATGTATCTCTGAGAATATTCGATGAAACATAGTCCACTTGCAAAAAAAAAGTGAAAATCAAACAAAAGAAGCTGCTAGTGAACAATGGATTGACCCAGCAACTCTTTTACTGCCCTGTTGCGGCTCCACAGCAGAATTAGATATTTAGGTAAAAATAAAATGATCCTCCTTTGCAGTAAAATAAAGCTCTGCTGATCTTTCAAACACAGTTTTAACAATACATGGTCTTAAACACTGAAGTTCCTGTAGCCTACAACTGCTAATTTACTGACCCTTAACTCTGAAGGTTGGCGTGCAGACTGCCAGTCACCAAAGCAATACAGACAACCATCCCGCCTAGCAAGTAGCTAACGAAAGGTCAAAGAGAGAGATTTAAGATGAACATCGATAATTTGGAGACGAATGGACTTATTTGCATTTATAATCACTCCAGCTGGTTTCCTTATACGTTTAATCTGCAACGAGAAACTGTCAAACATGAAAAAGTCACAAAGCTGAAGTCAGATTCTCATTCGAATTGTCCCGTTCCGCCTTAAATGCCCCAGCATTTTCATTCTGGCGCCTAAGGCACCATTTAAGGTGGAATGAAAAAACTCAAAACTCAAAACTCAAAAAAGAAGCGACTTCAGCCGTATAAAAAAAATCGAACATTGAGAGACATTTTACAAGAAACTGTTCTGCTTCTGTGGAAAAGTTTCCTGCTGGAGATGTGAGAAAAGCAGCCATACCTGAGCTAAAGCTTAAAGTAGTCTGCATTATTTTTATCTTATAGTAGTACATCAGCACATTCTGAGACATATTTATAGCCAAGAGGGTCAAATGGACATAAATGTTGTGGCTCTCAAGGTGGTTTGAATTTTATTGAAATGACAAAATGGCTCTTCTTAACGTTTGGGTTGCCGACCCCTGGACTGCCCAGTCCAGACTTCAACATCACTGGGTGTCTTTAGGATTACTTGGATCATGAGAAGCAGAAATTGCAATCAACCTCTAAGACTGAACTTTGGAGGTGTGGAAAAATATCAACATTCTGAAAAATAAGTCGAAAAAAGTGGAAGCTGTAAAGGCCAAGAGTGGACACACAAATACAAAATGACAAAAGATATTATATTTACTTGTTGAGGCTTCTGGGTGATTCCTGTTAAATATGTTTTTTTTTTTACATAACCACTTAAAATCCCAGGCTTATTGCATACTAAGGCTTATTAATTAGTAACTGCAGGTACTTCAGTGAAAACTGGTTGAGCTATTCTTAGGTTATAGAACTTTGGGCTGGCTGGCGGGTCCTGGCCATGTAAGGGGTTAATGGTCTTTCTGACTGGAAATTTCATGAATAAAGGGTGGTTTCTGATATTTATCGACCTCTAATTGGACCTTGATGAACCTTTTTCTCCTTCCAGTACCTTCTCAGACAGTATAGAGGCATCCACCTACCAGGGAGGGAGCCAGTGCAGACAGAAAAGAAGCTGATATACCCACGACTGCTTATAAGAACGTGGAAGAGCTGCATGTGAACGTCCACTTTTTTCTACACTGGACTCTGAGATTTTCATCCTTCAGTTTTCTTTGTAGGTCTCATCCTGTAAGTCCAGTTCGGGTGGGTCTTTATGCTTTCAGACCTTTTCTGCAGGTCTGTCATTGTTGGCCTTGGGTTATTTATTTGGGTCATTTTACCCGAGACTGTACACTCACCATTCACTTCATTAGGACCTTACATCATGGTTCTACTCACCGGCCACTTTATGAGCTCCGCCAACTTCAGCTTCACTACATAGACGTACAATTACAATTTGATAGTTTCTGATCACAGGACCACTGTTGATCAGATGTTACTTGGGTGGTGGACCATTTTCAGCACAGCCGTGTTGCTGGGGTTTTGACACACCCCAGTGTCACTGCTAGGTTGAGAGAGGTCTGCCACTCAAAAATATCCAGCCTGGAGTGGCTCTACAGCCAGAAACTGACCAGTTATGAAGGGCTGGAGTAGGGGTGCCCTGCTCTAAACTCTGCAGGGTGGTAGATCTCCAGGACCAGGACTGGACACCCCTGGCTAAAGTTGGCTAACACAGACTATGCTTTGACAAATGGGCTTAAGCCTCTAAGACCCTGTTTACACCTGGTTGTTTCATGCAATTAGTATCTGGATTGCAAGCTTTCACGATTTTAACCACATTTATGATTTTTACTCAAATGTGTCGGTTAGCCAGACTGAAATTCGATCATTATATGCCAAGTAATGTACTATTCTGCTCATATGCATCAACCAGTCGCCTGTGTTGTTCCTAATTTTTTTCCAGTTCTATTCAAAATGTGGTTGAAAATCACAGTGCATGGTGTTTTTGAACTGTGAGTAACAACAAGGCCAAGAAAGAAGAACCAAACTGGCACTTTATTATAGCTAAGTAGCAACTGGGGGGAGGCATCTTTACAGTGTCAGGTGTCAAATAGGCCTCTGAAATCATGTAGTCATTCTATATTCCATATTAGGCCTAAACTGGTTTTCTCGGTGACAGAAACGAATGGCGTTTTGGAAAATTGCCACTGTCAAATGGTAAACGGAAATGTTCCAATGCTGATACGTTTTGCCGTATAGACATTATTCCTCTGGACGTTGCAGGATTCGCTGAATTGCGGGGTCATTCATGTATGCAAGCTAACACTGCTGTGCACTGAGCTGACATCCTAAGACTGCCCTGCTGAAAAAGGAGCATTAGGATTAAAACCTGGGTTTGCTTTTTTATGTAGTTCTGTTATAATGAAAGTTTTGGGGGGAGGAACATGCCTTAAAACCCCTCCTTCTTCCAATCTAATGCCCTATAAATTCACATCCTCACCTTTCGTTCCTGTGATGAAGGGTTCGCAATCCCCACCACCACCCCATCTCCCCCCCTGTTCCTCAGTCCTACATCAGTCCTGCTACAGGCAGAAGCTGCCCAGAACTCCATCCCGAGTCACTTCCTCAGTCAGTCTTCTCTCATACTACCACCACCATGTTGAAGGCACAGTCTGAACCTACAAAATGGGAAATGGCTTCAATAGAGACCTCTAGTTTACTGCAGAACACCTTTAGTTTTGTTTAGGAAACCATCTAATGCATTTAGAAACAGCCACTGATCACCTGTTAAACCATTAGAAACCTTTAGATTGTGATATCAACCCATCAAAAAAGCCAAAACGCATTACAACCAACAGAGACACTTAGTTTGTGGCAACCTTACCAAAATACGCCACACAAACCAGCAAGCTTTGTCAAATGTGGTAGTTGCTCTGGCACTTTTAGGCTGCAGTTTGAGTAGGTGGTGTTGCTGTATAAGAGTGTGGAAGGTTGACTTACTTTAATATGCAGGAGCTTAGCGGTAGCATGTAGCATTAATCATATTTTGACTGCTAAATGACCCCGTAATCCATAGGATTCAGCGATACATGGGGAAAAAATGTACACAGGACAGAACATATTGATTGTGGGGCATTTTAGTTTACCACGATCGCAACAGCAGTGATTTTCTTTGGAAAAACCATTTGTTTTTGTCATAGATAAAACCTGCTTTGACCTGGAGTTCCTAATACAGACATGATGCTGTTTTCTTTTTGGATTTATATCTGTTTTAAATTCGTCTTGGGTGCATTTACACCTGCGTTTTTATGTGGATAATCTATATCCGGATATAATCCTGATACTCAAGATTCAAGTGACCAAGTGTAAACAGGTTCTGACTGTAGACAAGCAAGGTGGAGGTACAAGGAAAGGGTTTCTGATAAAGTGGCCACGAGCATATATAGCTGCACATATGCAACTCAAATATACTGAATGTTGCCAAAAATCACTGTCCGCTGTCTGAGCAGCGTTTCAGCTCACTAGTGGTGAGTAAATGAAGCCTCACACGTCTATTCGACGTTTCCACTCTCATTTGTTTCATTACCTCTTCAGCAGCATGAATATGTCATCATTGCTTACTGTAGTGTAATTTTAAAGTCTATAATTTTGTCATTCTAACAGCCTCACTTGGAAAACTATATGAACAACGAATGTATGACTACGCAAACGGCGAACGCACAACCTCTTAGGCCACGATGCTTCCGTCATAGGCTTGTACAAGCATGTAAAACTGTCGCAAACAGGAAAGTTTATGCAGAGAAATGTCGTCTATCTTTAGGGCTGGTTTCGCAGACCCAGATTAAGTCCAAGGGGGGGACAGGGGATCATACTGCACATTTTGGCTGACCAGAGTGCTCATTTCTAATGGTTTCCAACAGGAGAGGTGTAGTTTGTGTAGTTTTATGCACTGAAGCTGACCAATCAGATCAAAGGTTAAAGCAGGTCTTCAGCGACTGTTGTAATGGAGGAGGGCTTAGTGCTGAAGTCACTAGCTGGGTTCCATTCAAGCACCAATTTTAAGTGAATTTTCTAAAAGTTGGTAGAAGAAAATGCAGATTAATTAGCGTTTCCAGCAACTATGGTTATGCGCACAATCCTGAAGACGACACATCGTACAAGGGGTGTGCTCCATTTGCCTGTGCTGGGCTGAGAAACCCGCTTAATCTGGGTTTTAGGCAAATTGTTGCGTAGCATAGCTACAATCAGAATATCAATGTTAGACTTCAGTGCGGATGTTTTAGTGTCTCCTGTTCGTCCGAAATTAATTTTAAGGAAAGACAGACGTGTTTATTGGATGAGTTAGCATATGAGGCATGCAAATGTTCAGACTGATATCAGATATAGGCCACATGAACGACCACATTTGGGCGGTAAACAGGATTTTACTCTTACCGGCAGTCTGAACGTAGCCTTAGTTTAGCTTGTTTTTGTTAGCAGCGCCACACTTGCCAGTAGATCACTTTCTAAAAGGGTGTGATAGCGTTTCTGCGACGATAGCTAGCTTGCACAGCTTATTGACCGTTACAGTGCTATTGTTGCTTAGCAACAGTGAGATGCTTAGCCAGAAGTAATATTAGCGTTCCCCCTCTCCAGATAAGACTAAATGAAATGGCATTGCATTTTAGTCCAAGACTTGGGCTTAATCCATGTCTACAGAACCAGCCCTAGTTTTTAAACCTAGTGTTGATGACTACAATATTATACGTCAGGTGAAACGACAGCACTACTGTTCAAAAGTTTAGAATGACTTTTTTATTAAACCAGTTTGTTGAAAAAGATTTTATTTAAATGCCTAAATTCAAAGATTACATTAAACGGAAAGCTGTAACAAAAGATGTGTCCTGATGAGGAGCGGAGATATCGACGACTCAGATAATTTTCTGTGGTAGTCAATGGCAGTCAAATCTTAAGGCAGATAGCCTGTCAATGATATACTGTAAGTAGACATCTTAAAATCTGTTCTATATGTCTTTTAGTACTTCTGACTATAGTGTATACATTACTACTGAATAAAATCAGTAGTTATTAATATGTGATTCTAAACTTTTGAACGATGTATATCAATAACAAATATGAACAGCTGTTAATAAATTAAAATAATAAACGATTCTGAATTACCGATGTGCAGTTGTGGTCTCTGTTTAGCTTTAGCATTTGATTCCATTTTGCAGTCTGCATACATTGACCTTTCTTTAGACTAGAAAAGCCCATAAACACGTATAAAAGTTTGAACACCCCAGTTAATGTATGTTACAATTTTCTAAGTGAAAAAAAGTTAACATGCTGAAAATAAGGCATTTTTCAGCAAATGTAGCTTGTATTTCTTTTAAAAATTAGCCAATTCTATTGAGCATAATTATTAATATATTTGCTATTTTACATGACAAAGAAATTAGACATAAAATAAAATGTCATAACTTATATTTAGATTTTATTTTTGCAATAAAATATAAATATTCAGCAGTTACAGTAAACAAAAAATGAGAAAACGTACAAGTGAAAAGTACAAGTCCTCAATTTTAGTAAGTGAAGAGTTTCATTCTTCAATGATGTATATCCATTTGTCTAATTTTTGGATTAATTTTTTAGCAAATAAAACATTTTTATCTCTCTGACAAGGTGGTATTAGTAAATTCTAGTAATTATAGCACTGATATTACTTGTACGTGTAAAGTCCACCACTAATAACATGCATCATGAAACAAAACAGGACATTTTTATAAGTGATGCATTTTGCACTACAAAAAGTTCCCAATTTCTACATAGAGCAATGAAGTACAATCACTTGTTCAAACATAAAATAACTGGACACAGTATTAAAAACACAATACCCAGAGGAGACGCTGCTTTAACAGCAAATTTTAATGCCATTGCTGAAGCCTGAGACAATTCAGTTGGTCAGTGGATTACATTCATTACAGGAACGGTTTGTGTAGTTTGCAGCGTTAATCCATTTTAAAACTGAGAAAAGTAGTAAACACTGTTGCTTTTTGATTACATGAAGTGCTTCAATTCTTTTAAATCAATAATCATTTCACTGCACCTTCAAGGGAAGTGACTGTATAATGTTTTTTCCCCCACTCATTTGAATTACCAGTGTATTTGAGGCACAGTGGTGATTCACAGGTGATAAATCCCTTGGCCCTTCCTTCATTTTGCCTATTCTGACTCAAAAAAAATCACAGTCGAATGAAATCATTAAAAAATACTACAACATACAATCAAACTCTTTACCACATTTGACATTCTAGGTTCAAATCTTAGTCAATATGAATGACATTGCTTATTGTGTATAAGAGAACATTGCTATGGACGTTTGACATTTTCACTCACATGACTCATGAGAATGTGCTCATACTCAGCGATGACACATTGCTACAGATTCCCCAGTTTTATAGGTTATAGGTTATACAGAGAACTGTCTTGGTACATGTTGTACAGCATATAAATAGTTTATTTGCCTGAGTTAAACACCATCATACATTATATGTGTTGACAGCTAGTACCCGTTTTTGTGAACGTTGCAAACTGAACCAGTAGAAATGGTCCAGAATTACTTGGATTTAAGGGGAATTCCACAACTTTCTCAACATTTCTGCATAATTCAATGGCTGAGATGTAAACAGTCATTCAGAGTTGTTTGCTGTGAAGTGGTTCATTGTAGAGAAACTTTCTGACTTGGATTTCTTTACAGTGATGGTGATGGGAACCAGCACTCGTGATGTCTATGACTCAAAGCCCTTTCATTTCCTATCTGAAACCACCAGTGAACCTACATGTGTTTTCAAAGTTCTATATATAATTTTCATAATGGTAAAAAAAAGTGCAAAATCAGAACATATACATTCTCTTTGCCTTATGATGCCCTGCATGTACTTCTAAAAACACATTTTAGGCCAAAACCGTCTCAAAATGATCATAAAACAACATCTCAGACATCACTCAGAACCATTTCATGGAATGACTTTCTGTGAGGGAGGTTTAAGAGTCACTAACATATTCAGACGTCTGGTTCCCATCACCACCACTGTGAACTACTTAATTTAATTACACAGAAATGTTGACAAATCAGTGGAATTCTCCTTTAAAATCATAAACATACATTCATGTTAAGTCGCTATTATGGAGATACGAGGTTTTGTTAGGACAGTGGATACACATACATATAAAAAAAGCCACATTACACTTGCATTATAAGTGTAACACTGGAAAAAAAATAAATAAATGTGGTTATAACACTGATGCAGTGTACAGAGGAAAGAGCGAAGACAGCTCCTCCCTTCTCCAAACCAATGTGGTTTATAAAAATGCAGGAAATTCGACTAGCGAACCCAACCGTGCTTCTAGATGATTTTACAGAAATCGTTTCTTCAGAAAAGGAGCCGCAGAGGCCTCTTCTTCTCTCACACATGCTCGTGATGTGAGCCTACTCATTTTATGAATGAGCTATATGAGAGCGGTTACTTATGAGAAAAAGCTTGTGAAAGTACACATGAAACATTAGATGACCCTCTACAACAATTTAGAGAAGCAACTGGTGAAAACCCTCATAAGAGGATACTGTAGATAAAAATCCGTCCTATGTGAAGATCTGAATTCATTCAAGGGACATTAAATTAGATTTGGTGGCACTTTTTCTAATTCCCATACTCTTCCACATGGGGTCTAGGGGTGGGCAATATGGCAAATATGATGATATCATGATATTTTCATATTTATCATGATGTTTCATTTTCTGTTGTTGGATAAGTTGCAACAGTTGTGCCATACTGGAATGCTATTAAGGCTAAAGTCACAGGTGTTTGGGAGTCGATATGAATACCAGTGAAATTTGTCAATTCTTGATATCACAGCAAAAGCATGAATGGCCAAAGAAGAACGCTTTATCCAAAAATCTAATTTCCACAATTTTTCACTTTCCTCAGATGCTGTTGATCAGCAAAGACATGTTTGGAGTCTAAATCTTGCTTCTTAAGTTTAGCGCTAGAACTATGAGGCTGTGAAACACGAAGTCACACCCAAAACTTTTCTGTAAATACATCCCCAAAAAGTTTAAACTTGCACAGATCTGTCAATGTGCTTTAGAGCATAGTATGACTTACTGTGAACTATTAAACTGAACAAAACTTCACTGTGTAGCTGAATACTGCGCTCAGCCACTTCAGACAACAGGACAACAGTTAGAATTTGCCACAACACCTGTTGTCTAAAATGGCATCCCAATTCAGCTACACTGTGAAGTTCTGTTCATTTTTATAGCTCATACTGTGTCCTGAACCCCAAACAGTGAGTCTGCAATGAAGACCTGGATGCAGAGACAGAGAGAGAATTTGCAGATATGTTTACAGAAAGGTTTGGGTGACTATTGACTTCTAGTGTTTGATCGTGTTTGTTAGCAATGTTGGCCTCATAGCTCCAGTGCTAAACTAAAGAGGTAAAATTTGGACACTGAACGTGTCTTAGTGATCGACGACATCTGATGTAAGTAGGAAATTAGGGTTTTGGGTGAAACATTCTTCTATATTATATTACAACTAGCCATCCAGGCCAGAGCACACATTCTAAAACAATTACTAACATAGTAAGTTGTCTATACAATGTCTAGAGATGTAACTGGTAAGCCAGTTACTCAACATTGGGTAGGTTTGGGTTTGTCTGCTAAGTGTGTGATTTATAGAAAGAACTAAACTATTTCTATTTAAATCTTTCTATTAATTTTTTTCAACTTTGGTATCGATTTTGCACCAAAGTACAGATATTTCTGACACCTCTACACGTGGCACTGAGAATTTATGGATTCAAATTCACAATCTCACCTAGAAATCTTAAGCAGCTCATTTCTCAATGACAAATTATCATGGTAATGATTATCACATTATCCACCCCTAGTGATTTTATTCTTATTTCAAATAAGAAATGATCTGTCACTTTTCTGCTCTGATTGTATTTCCTTCAATATCTGAAACAGTGCCTGTGCTTTTACGGTGTCCCCTTGAATGAATGCAGACCTTCTGATGTCCCTATGAGAAGTAAAGGGAGATATGGTGGGACTGGAAGCAGTCCTGGTCATTCTTGGTCCTGTAAGGATGCGATACGCCGCCTAGAGGAGGCATTTCTCTTCTTCAAGATGAGCTTGAGCTGAAAATGAATGCAGAATACGTGTCAAAACTAAACTCAAAATGCAGTGTTCACGTTCTTATTTCTTTTTCATAGCAATCGGCTGCATATCTGACAAAATGAAAATGAAAATGCAAACCGATAAATCAACGAAAGTGACAGTTTGTGATTCAGTTTTCGGCGCGGATGCGCTTTAGGTGTCAGAATGAAAAAGCAAATGCAAACGAATGTCGGCGCCACCTGCTGGACATTTACTTTACATTTTCCACTTTTCGTTTTCGTTTTCACACTGACCAACATGCAAATATATGTTAATTAGCACGGGGCGGGGCTACGAGGTACATTTTAGGACATCCTTAGACCTCCGAGTCAGAACGACATCATTCCTCAAGCTAAACGACTTTTCTCTATTAGCTTTTTCATTTTAGATTTGGCCATGAAAAACCAGAATAACGACTAAAATGAAATGACAAACAGCTGTTTTACATCTATTTTTATTGTTTTCACAAATGGCTCGTGCTCATGTGAAAAATGAAATCGCAAATGTAGGTATTTCATTTCATTTTCAATTTTGGCAGGATATTTGCGCAGATGTTCGGAAAAAGAAATGGCAAAAAGAGGTTTGCATTTACATTTTATGGTTTTAATTTTTATTTCTTTTTTGGCTGGATTTGCCTCCCATAGTGTCTGATCCACCTAGATCAGCACAACACACTCTAACACACCTCCACCACCCAAATAGTACCTGCTCTGTGGTGGTCCATGGGGGTCCTGACCACTGAAGAACAGGTTAAAAGGGGGCTAACGAAGTATGCAGGGAACAGATGGACTACAGTCTGTAATTGTAGAACTACAAAGTGCACCTATATAGTAAGTGGAGCTGATAAAATGGACAATGAGTGTAGAAACAAGGAGGTGGTCATAATGTTATGCCTGATCGGTGTGTGTGTGTATATATATATATATATATATATATATATATATATATATATATATATATATATACACACACACACACACACACACACACACACACACACATTGGAGTATGCAAACGTTTGGGTGCCTCTGGTCAAAGTCATTGGTTTGTTGATTTTCTAGTTTTAAATATGGTGATGTGCAGTTTTTGGATGTTAGTGTAATAGGCTCATAGAGAGAGTTTACAGCTATCAAAACAGCAAGCGGGTCTCCTCACCTTCTCTCCTTGCTGACCACTCTGCAGCAGATGGGCAGGCTGGTCATTCTCCAGGTTGCGAATGCTGGGGTCTGCACCTCTGCCTAGCAGCAGCCGGATCAGCTCCTCCTGATGTGGGTTTCCGTGCAGCCCTGCCGCCATGTGTAAGGCCGTGTGCCCGTGGGCCTGAGGCAACACAAATCAACATGTAAGAACCTCTACCACTTTAGATCAATACAACAGCGTCATGACGATAACATCCTAACAGCTACAATGTAAGCCTCCTAAGTCCCCTAATGGAGTTACACCTTAAAAGGTCTTTTTTTACATTTTGTTTAGTTATTTCTCACTTATATTTCATTGAGACAGTCTGTCAAAAGCATAGATTCTAGTTTCAAACAATAAAGGATTTGTGTTTGTAAGTAGGAGATGCTGTATTATAATTTGTAGTTGTGTGTACAGTGACAAAAAAGCCTTTACATTTTTCCCATGTTTTTGTTACTATGACACTGAAACAAATGGAAAGTCAGGAGCTGTTGATACAACATGTAAATCGAATATAAATCTCAATTAATTATGTGACAATGCAATTAATACATATAATGTGTAAATTGACTGTCTTGTGAAAGAACAATAATAACCTAACTTTTATAGTAATATCTAACATAAATTTACACCACAACTGCATAATTCAAAACATAAAACAGTGGGGTCCAAAAGTCTGAGAACAGATCTCTGAAATATTGAATTTTGGAATTTCTTAGTATTTGGTATGTCCCCCCCACACTTCCCCAAGCCTCTGATGAGCAGATCAAATCCCCCTCATATGAACACAAGCGGAGTCATCTGAACACTACCTTCAATGGAAGAGATAAGAAAAAAAAAAGAAGTGCACACCCTCATACCATGACAAACAGGCTTTTGAACTTTATGCTGTTAACAATCAGGATCATTCTTTTTCTCTAAGACCCAAAAAACACGGCGTTCATTATTTCCAAAAAATAATCTGAAAAGTGGACTCCTCAGTCCACAGCACGCACCTCTACTTTGCTTAGCCCAGAGAAGTAGGCGGCGTTGCTGGATCCTGTTGGTATATTGGTTCTGCTTTACGTAGAACTTAACTTGCATTTGTAGATGTAGTGACAAAACTGTTTACGGCGGGGACGCAGGGTTTTCTGAAGTATTTCTGAGCCCATCTAATATATTCATTACAGAAGCAGAACTGTTTTTAATGCAGTGCCATCTGATGGATCGAAGGCCACAGGCATTCAATAGTGGTTTTTAGCCTTGCTCCACATGCACAGAGATTTCTCGAGATTCTCTGAATCTTTCAATAATTTTACGGATTGTAGATGGTGAAATCCCTAAATTCCTTGCGACTGTGCACTGAGAAATGTTCCTAAAATGTTGGACTATTTGCTCACAAAGTTTTTCACAAACTGAGCCTTTTGTGAAAACCTGTTTACCTGTGGAATGTTCTAAAACAGATGTTTTTGATTGTTCCACAAACTTCCCAGTCTTATATTGGCCCTGCCCCAACTTTTTTGGAAAATGTTGTAGGCATCAATTTTGAAATTAGAGTACAAAAATCAATAAATTTGAAATATTAAATATCTATTTTTGGTGTTATTTTCAATAAAACACCTGTAAAAGGCAGTTTACTTTCTGTTTTTATGTGCATTTTACCTGCTGTACTTTTTTGGAATTGGGTTTGTAGAAGTAGCACATAATCTCTTCATTTTACTTCTCAAAACTTTTCTTGGTTTAGATTTTTCAAAATTCTAAAACTTTCTGTTGTTTATTTCCATGTTTGAATAATAAAAACATTTCCCAGATTTTCAATGTGATCTCAGACGTTTGGATGCCACTGTATATTACTGTAAAGGTCTGTTTTCCTATCAGCATGTGATACCTTCATGTTGATAAAGGCCTGCATGTCAGGCAGCTGGAATTTCAGGAAAAAATGCACCAGCTGGATATTCCCCTCTTTAACAGCCAAGTGGAGAACAGTCTTGTTGCTTTTGATTTCCTAAGAAAGAGAGGGACATGTGATTTCACAAAGTGAAACTGAAGCGAGCGTGAGAACATAGACCTGCAGCCTTTCCATGTAGTATTCAGTATTGTACAGAAACTGCAGAGGTATAAAAGGGGGTTTCACTTTCTGTATGTCATCAGGAAATGCAGCGTGATCTTAAAACGTTACATAAGCATGCTACCTTTCAGAAGTATTCTAATCAATGTTTTTTTCCAGTAATCTAAAACCAGCATAGCTGCAGATAAATGTATTAAACAACTTTACAACTTAACAGGTTTCTAATTAATATGAAGCTGTAAAAAATTAAGAAATGGCAGATGTGTCCAAAAATTTATATTCAGAATGAAGTTCTAATAAAACTGAGAATGAAGTTCTAATAAATTAACACTGAGAATGAAGTTCTAATTAAGTTAATATTCAGAATGCCCCATAGTTCAAAAGTGGAGACCAAATCTCGAGGCAGATGATGTAACTGAAAATGACCACAGGTAATTACGGTAAATAATTTACAATTTTATAAATAACTGAAACTACAGAAAATACTAAAAATATTAAAACATTCAATTTAGAATATCTAGTTTATAATATTTAGATCTACTGTGTAGTTTATTGTATGTCTGTATATTGTAATGCACGATTATGAACCGTTACCTTAATATGTTAAACTCAGGAAATAACAAAATTGCACATTAAAATACACAGTAAAATGTAATTTAAGTGTGACCCCCTGTAGAGGTACTTTTTTTAAAGTTCTTATTAAATGAATACTGATAGTGAATATGGATAACAAAGTTCTAATAAACTTGATATCCAGAATGAAGTTCTGATAAAAAATAATATTCAGATTTAGTTTAATAAAATTAATATATTTACACAAAAAATCATTTGGATTGGGGCAGATAGTGGAGAACAAAGCTCAATGTAGGAACAGAGCATTGCGGCTGATGCAATAGATTAGTAGAAATAAACACCTGGCTGAGAGGGGAAGCCCCAGCATCAAGCAGCAGCTGCAGACAATATAGCTTATTCTCGGCCTGAGACTGCAGACCACTATCAGGTAGCCAGGTGGAGGATGAGGAGGAGGCAGTAAGGGCCTTTATCGTGGTGCTGTGGGAAATCACTGCACAGTGGAGTGGGGTGAGTCCTGAGAGAGAGAGAGAGAGAGAGAGCTCAGTGTATTGCAAAGGTACCACATTGTACAATTTTCTTTTACTTTATGTTTTTTTTTTTTTTTAAGTCAATGCAACTTGGAAATCATAGGGCATTTTTATTCTGTACCGTGACGTATTTCAGAGTAAAACACAGTATCGGGGAGGGTCTCTGAGCTAGCTGGGTGCATTCTCTTGATGATTGGTGAAGTGTTGGGTAAAAGTCATTACACTCTGTTCAAAGATTATAGGAAAACTAGAATTTGATTGTCTTAAATGCGATCAGGCACATGCAATAACAAGGCCTGGTTTACTTGAAATCTGTTTGAGTAAGTTTATGTACTAAAACTTTCTCTGTTAATGATCATATTCTTTCAAATTAAGCAGGCAATTTTTGTTACTGTGCATTTAAGAGGTAAATTATCTCTGATGTCATTGGCTGTCCTGTATCATGCCTGGTTCAAAAAGCAGTTTGGGCTGGAAAAAACTTCATCTGGACTAACATTGTATTTCTACACATCTTCCATGCCAATAATTGCTACAGACAGCTTGCAGTAACAACACTCCTCATCCCTGCAATGTAAATGGGCAGAGCAAACTGCTGTGGGCTGAACGGGTGGTCATATGTAAATGTGCTCGTGGCTCATGATTACTCTCAAAACAGGCTGTTCTGGCAGCTTATAGACAAGAGGTTCTCAACCTTTTGTACCTCAAGGCCCAACTGTTTATCAACAGAAAGCATGAAGGCTGACATGCAAATAAAAACGTAAAGATTTCATTTGGGAGAAATTTTCGACACAGCAATGTTTGGTTGCGACACATATCAGTGAACATAAAATACCAACAGATTAGGCAAACCGAAGCTTGTTTTACACTAGAAATTAGGAAGAATTAAGTAGAATGGCAAATTAAGCAGAATGTTTATACAACACAATTTTTACGCCTGTCGCTTACGAATTGAATTTTTTTCAGAAGCAAGGAAAAGTTGGTTTGCTAAGATGTGGCCCCAGAACTTTTTCATTTGTGACATTAGACAATGTGCAATCTTTTACCTTCAAAATTGCGGGCCTCCATGTCCAGTCCATGGTCCATCGACAGCAACATCTGCGAATGGAGGGATTTGAACATGTAGGTTTTTTTTCCATGTTGCTAAAATGTGGACAGACATGTTGATGGACTCTCTCTTACCTGCATGACCTGAGGGAAGCCATATGTAGCCGCCAGGTGCAGCGCTGTCTGACCCTTGTTGTCACAGATGCTGATATCTGCTCCTAGAGAAAGCAGGTCCTGGACTATCTCCGGCTGATTGGCCGTCACAGCCACCAGCAGAGCAGTCTGGGATACAGGACGGCATAAGAATGAATACACTGAGCACATGAAGCAATGTAAACCACCAACAATCAAATAATTGGTAAAAATAAATGAATAAAATAAGATAATATCATAATGGGATGATATCCAATGAGCTAAATGTTACTATGGAGTATATACACGTGTTACTATGGAGTTTATACTGGTTGTTGTTTACAGGCTCTAGTCTAAAGGTGTCTTTGGGTACTGATCGTACCCATAATACAGAGGGCTAAAAACCAGCACAATCTGAATGAAATGCCTGGCAATATAAATGCCAGGGCATTTCTTTGCAAATATATTTTCATTTTTAGTAGATCACCTTGCCCTTGTGCTCCTTTGAGTCCAACCTGCCAAGTTCCTGCAGCTTCTCTGCTGCAGCAAAAGCATATTCCCTCTGGCCCTTAGCAGTGTAGATGTGCAGAATCCTGGCAAAGACAAAAAAAAAACATACAAAAATGCTTATTTCACAGAAAGCAAGGCTTTTCCATCATGCTGGGTCTCTACATTGGCTATGTGCATCTACTGTTACTCAGTGTTCTGTTCAGCAGTGCTCATGACAAAGTTTAGTCACTAGATAATAATAGGTTTTATTACTGGAAATCAACTTCATATCACCAGTGGTAAACCATGACTATTAAAGCTAGAACTTCAGTTCAGGCCATACATGTAAAAATGACAAAAACACCTCAGTAATGCTAACATCCCTATGGGATTCTAGTAGTAAGTTTGAGCTGAGAGCTGACAGCAATTCACATGAACATTTTTTAGCTGTCAGATTTTACATGGACCTTGGATGCTTGTAAAAGACATTCTGTATTTCATTTGAAGCTTGTGAGAGACATTAACATATATTTTCCTTGTTTGTAGCAGTTTTACAGAGTTTTCAGTAGAGTTCTGGCACAGGGTTGCCACTGTTTTCCAATTCTAACAACTGACTGAAACCTGGTAAGATTACGACTTGTGTTACGAGTCAGTGAAGTATCTAGAACTTCTAGAAACTTTAGATTCATGTTTTTTGGTCACAAAACGGGTCCAACCCATTGTATATCGAAACATGACTGGTCAATATTTTTAGAATATAAGTCATTATTATTATTATAAGTCATTATTTCGACATATTAAGTAAAAATTTTCAGAAAATACATCATTATTTCAACATACTATGTCAATGCTTTGAGAAAATAAGAAAAATCTGACTGGACAGTTTTGCACTGGGTGTTTCAAAATTGTAACCCTTTTGTTTCCAACCAAAACTTGAAATTTTAAAATAAAAGCTGTGCTACAATACTTGCAGAGCCTAAACAGGCATGATGGTCCAATTAATAAAAACAAAGTAGCAATTACAGACATTTTTAGTCTATATACTACATTTTTTGGTTCTCTGAATTCATTAGGCCTTAAAAGGCCCTGAGCGTTCGCACTGGGAACAGAGTCAGAGATGTTAATTGTGGTGTTTAACAGTCAGGGAGGAAAATGTTGCTCAAGCTTCAAATAAGAATACCTTCCTTTCTGGTTCAAATGGTCCTTAAGATTTACATAACTTCGGATTAAACTACAATTGACCTATCCATGCTCTGCCATGGATATTGGACAAGCATTACAGAAGGTTAAGGTCCCACTTAACCTAAAAAAAAACTGTAGAGAATAACTCTTTTGTCAAATTACATACATTTTAAGTGTCATTTCAAATATCATTTCGTATTCGAGTGAAAGGTCACACTTGAGACAGATCAGCTGGCCTATCTACAACAACACACTGGATGACCCTGCTGCAGCTAAACTAAACTGGAAGAAAATAACTCTTTCACTCACGTGTCTCCGTCATCGTCTTGCCAGGTGGTTCTGTTATAGTCCATGCCCTGGAGGAACACTCGAGCCTCCTCCAGCTTGGCCATGTCCATCTGGGTCCTGAACGGGAGGCTGCAGGGTCCTGCAGGGGCCTGGGCCCTGGATCCCGAAGACCAAGAGTAACATGAGCTCTGAACAGTCACAGCACTGGCACCACTCAAAGCTGCCGTCACTGGACACTCTGCTCCAGGCTACGTGGAAAAAAGAATGCACAGGAAAGGAAACACGATGATAATCACATCATTTCAAATTTTAATAACTTCAGAAACCAAGTACGATTACGGCCTCTTTAAAACAGTAAACATCATCTCCTCTCTGCAGAACTTTGTTGGTACATGAAAAAAAAGGAGTTTCTGATGTTCATAAAGTTCAGTGAACATTATCACAGTTATTGTACATTATAAAATCTGCCCAATCAGTTGTGACCTTTTATAACTCCATTTCCGAAAATGTTTTGCTGTGCAAAATGTCAATAAAAATAGAATGCAATGATATGCAAATCAAGTAAACCATATTTTTAAAGGAAAATACTAAAAAGACAACATATCAAATGTTGAAACTGAGAAATTTCATTATTTTTTGAAAAATATATGAAATTTAAATGTTTTTCCATTCTTGTTTGATATAGGATTTCAGCTGCTCGACAGTTCAGACTCTCCTTTGTTGTATTGAAAAAGACGTCATCTGGATGGCAGCATATGTTGCCAAAACATGTATCCATTGTTCAGCATTAATGGTGCCTTCACAGATGTGCACGTCACTCATACCATGTGCACTGATGCACCCCCTACACCAACATGAATACTGGCTTTTGAACTGTGCACTGATAACAAGCTGAGTGGTCTTTAGCCTGGAGGACACAGTGTCCACGATTTAAAAAAAAATTCAAATGTTGATCTGTCGAACCACGAGACACTTTCCACTTCACCTCTGTCCATTTTAAATGAGCTCGGGCCCAGAAAAGGCGGCGGCATTTCTGGATCCTGTTTATATATGATTTCTTCTTTGCCTTTTAGAGTTTTAACTTGCATTTGTGGATGCAGCGACGAACTGTTTTCACAGACAGTGGTTTTCAGAAGTGATTTCCACTAGAGAATCGTGTCTGTTTTTAATGCAGTGTAACCTGAGGGCCCGAAGATCATGGCCAGCAAATGGTTTTGGGTCTTGGCCCTTGCATACAGAGATTTCTCCAGATTCTCTGAATCTTTTAATGACATTATGTACCGCAGACGATGAAAAGCAAAAGTTCTTTGCTATTTTATGTGAGAAACGTTAGCCATTTTTTGTTCTCCTCTACTTGTCAGATACTCAAGATAGAAAGAAAGAAGTACTGTCTCTACAAGAAACCAAGCCTTTTTTCTTTTTCTCTTATTTTTACCTTTAAAAATATCACAATCATTTTTGGCCAAAAAGTAGCATATTTTATGATTGATTATAATCAAATCTAACGTTCCAAAATCATTGCAGGTTAGTGCATGTAACTTTAACACCCTGCAGCAAAACAGTGAAGTCTGATAGAACATGGATGGGTATGAAGTATGATTTTCTAGGCTCTTACGAAGTGCTGTGGTATCTGTCCGTCCGGACAGTCCTGCAGCTGATGTGGGCTGTAGCTGGAGGCCTGTGGCTCAGAAGAGGGCAGGCTGTGGCTGTAGACACCAGTCGGTGAAAAGCTTGGGGCGTAACTGAGCGCCACAGCAGAGAAGGGGTTACACGGCGGCAAGGCTGAAGAATGCTGGTGCACTAATCCATCCCACCGGTCATAACTCATTGCTGCCATGTCGAAGTAACTACTGCTGGTACCTGTAGAGAAAGAAAGACTTTTAGCTTAAAGGAATTCTTCGCCATTTTTCAGTCTAATCTGCCAAATCTGTATCGTATGGCCAATTAGCATGGACAATAGTTTCAACACTTTTCTCTGTACTCAAAAAGGAACTAAACAAGCTTACAACTGAAGCCACTGGGCAGCTGCTGAATTCTGTTTGCAAACATTTATGTGAAACACGTTTCTGTAGAACACCTTAAAGGATTTTTTAGTCTGACGTGTTTGTAAATTAAGACATAAATCTGTATATTTGTTCTTTTAGAGACTAGTTCCCCAGAGTTCTGACAAATTCTGCTACCTTGTCAAAATGTCCTTAGCATATGTTCATAGGTAGTGCTGTTCATAAAACTGTAAGGAGGATATTTTAATAGCCTAAATCACCCTATCAGAAAACGATACCAGCATTAAAACTGGGGGAAGAATATTTTGATAGCCTAAATCATCCAGTCAGTGTGTAAGTAATATCATTTAGTCTGTATAACACACTCGAATAGGGGGCAGTCGTGGGCTGGAGGTTGGGGAACCAGCCTTGCGGCCGGTTCGAACCCCTGAGCCAACAGTAGGTGACTGAAGTGCTCTTGAGCAAGGCACCTAACCCCCAACTCCTCCCCAGGTGCTGCGGCTAGGGCTGCCTACCACTCCTGAATTGAGCATTGAGCAGCATAGTACACGCTTTATCTCCGCCACTGTGAAGCTGTACTCTCCTATTTTGGTTCCTAGGTAATTGTTCCTACTAGAGATTGAATAATGGCAGTGGTGCTTTCGCCGCAAATAGACAGTTATCGCAAAGATTATACACACCGATCAGGCATAACATTATGACCACCTCCTTGTTTCTACACTCATTGTCCATTTTATCAGCTCCACTTACTACATAGGTGCACTTTGTAGTTCTACAGTTACAGACTGTAGTCCATCTGTTTCTCTGCATACTTTGTTAGCCCCCTATTACCCTGTGCTTCAGTGGTCAGGACCCCCATGGACCCTCACAGAGCAGGTACTATTTGGGTGGTGGATCATTCTTAGCACTGCAGTAACACTGACGTGGTGGTGTGTTTGTGTGTTGTGCTGGTACGAGTGGATCAGACACAGCAGTGCTGCTGGAGTCCACAGGCGATGAGCGACCAACGATTTGGGCGACAAGAGGCGAAAAGTCGCTGCCGGTGTGAGCGCACGGTAAAGGAATTGATTCGTCGACTCCAATATGTCTGGCCAATGACTGAGAGTCTAAATGCTTGGAGTCAACTCCGACACTGTCGACTAGGTTTTTTTGGAAGGAGGAACATTTTGATGAAGGTGTGGGTAAATTGGAACAGAGTCTTAAGTTTGAGCAGCACAAGTTTGTTTAATTGTCAGGCTTTAAACAATGCCAGCACTGCTCAACAGCCACTGTAAGCACAAACTCTGCTTGCAAAAGCATTTTCGGTATATCCTGCACCGCCCTGCACTCCACTCTAGATGTTCTTCATGATTAGGGTTCCAATAAACAATGATCAGAAACAGTACAAGGAACGAAAACCAAAAAAAAACCAAAAATATTTTTCACTGAAAGTTGTGGAAAAGAGAATGAAGCTGAAATTGGCCTCTTATTTGGCAGCTTCTTGTTCAAATTTTCCGTTCCATGCTAAATGGTGCTGAAGTTACATTCTTTAAGGTAACTGCTGCATCATTTAAGGTGGAACGGAAAAGTTGAATAAGAAGCTGGTGAATACAAAGCCAACCTCAGCCTCTTAAAAAGAGGAACAAGGTAACACCCAACTGCTCTGGAATGAAAAGCTGGTTCCTTTTTTTAAAGATTATTGACTGCAGTATTGATTTTCTCACTATATCACTCTCACCTTCCCCTCACCCCTCATTATGTGATGATACACGCTGACGGTAAAATGTGTTGAAACATTAGTCACCTGTCATCATTTGCCAGTTTTACAAAAGGGTTTCCCTTTTTATGAGTTACAGCATGAACAGAACATGACATTATTATAGGATGACCTGGTCACCAGACTGCTAACAAGCTATAGGCTGTACCAGTAATATTCAGAGACAGGCTTTAAGCTCAAATCTTTTAAAGAAGCAGTCATTGTAAACTACAACACACAAAGTAAACAATATGTTATCTAAACATCTGTTAAAATCATCTACTCTGTGTTAAAGCTGTAATTTGTGAGTACAAACCGCTGAATGACAACATAAATGCATGGATCCCGATCTGACTGGTCACATGCCCAGAACTCCGAAATTCAAAACCACCTACAAATGCATCTTGAATCCGTTTGGCAAAAGTCAGATTTCATTTTTTTGGTGCTCAAGAAAATCTGTCCTGGTCAAATCAGATATGTTGAAAAAGAGCTGACTGAACAAGGCCATTGCGGTAAAGTGAAAAATAAAGTATTTACATATTTCACAGTTAATCTGTAGAATTCAGCAGCTGCTCATTGGCTTTTGTTATAAGTGCATTCTGAGTCTACAGGTTCACTACAGAAGTGACAGACAGACATCAACATTAATTCATTGTGCATGTAGCTTCCCTCTAAAGATGGTTATATGATCATGTTTCACTTACCGGCAGAGGGAGCTGATGGTGACACCTGTTGGAGAAAAAGTTTAGTCATTATTTGTCATCAGTTTAGACAAAATGTGTCATAATTAATCAGGCAGTGATGTGAAACACTAATATTAAAGGGGAATTTTCACAATTTATGCATAATTATATGGTCAAGATGTAAACAAACTCATTCAGAGTGGCTTTCTTGTAAAGTCTGAGCTGGCATGAATGCGCTGTAAGCACCAACCCTATGGTAAGTACTACTGACTCATGGACTGCGGAACGTATTTTGGTATAGGTGGGGCCAAGCATTCATGTTTTTGTTTCACAGGGGTTGCTCATTATATATTATTTGGCTCTTAAGGCACATAGTTTGTTTAATCTGCTCCTAGAATCCTATAATAGTCTGACACAGCTTGCAGAGTGCAGCCTGATGAGATAAATTAAAATTAAGTCACTTATGAATAAACACGTGGCAAGTACAGTTTACTGGTGGACCTTCAGCAGGCCTATAGGTTAGGCCTGAGTATTCTCATGCAACAGAATACTTAGGACAATAAGCTCATACCAAGAATATGCAGTACTGTGTGTCAGAGAGCACCCTTTCATCTATTTCATATCCAGCCAAAGCGTAAAAAAAAGCAGAAAACATATATTTATCTGAAAATTACAAAAAAAAAAACATATTTTTTCAGTATTTAGTGAATCCACCTCTTCCCTTTATTAAATTTTCCATTCTTTTCGGAAGACCTGCTCCAGTTTTTTAAAGAAATCTGCAGGGATATTTTTCCATACCTCCAAAGTTCAGTCTCAGAAGTTGGTTGCATTTTTTGCTTCTCACTATCCAAGCAATCCCAAACACATTCAGTGATGTTGAGGTCTGGACAGTGCATTGTTCTGAGAACAACTGACTTGTTTGAGAGTTTCTTCTTTTTTGTCTATTTCTTTTTCTCAGTAAGGCTTCTTGACAGCTACATGTCCTTTCAGACCCATAGCGCTGAGTTGTCCTCTCACAGTGGAGGGATGGACAGAAACAGCTGTGGATGTTTTCAGATCTGAAGCAGCTTGATTTTCTCCTCTCTCTAAAAGGTGAAAGCTTTATAGACTGTTTATCTGAAGGGGATAGTCTTGGTGGTCTACCAGGTTTTGAATGGTTGTTATTATCTTTTCGCATGTTCAGTAATTTGAGCTCTAGTTTTGGAGACTGTTTTCTTCTTACTTTCTCCTTCCTTACACAAGTAGATTAACTAATCTTTTCAGAAACAACTCCCAAAAATAAATAACTTGCACTTAGTGGCCAACTTAAGTAGAAATTGAATAAACAAAAAGGTGGTCTCTGAATTTTACTCAATACTCTATGTGTGGGACAGATCTGGGTTTTATTCAATGGCAGGCTAGTGGGCTAATTTAAACAAAAAGTGTCCCTGAGTGCCCCGCCCCGTTCAGCAGTCCCTGACTACCCCAGAGCTGCACAATATGGTCAAAATACCATACTGTGATTATGATATTCTTTGCAATATATTTTGAACCTCAGTGTGACACAGGCTGGTCTGCATTAGTCTGAACATTATTTTAATTTGTTGGACTGCACAAATGCCTTGATTTATCCAAACATCAACAAAACACTCCGCCTGTCATTGGTTAAAAACATACTGCAATTAGGGTGAGCTCATATTAAAGCCTTTTGTGATATCAGAATATCACAATAATGAGCAACAGCCGAGGTAACACTTCAATTAAGTGCAGCGTTCATAAGGCTACACAACACCTACCTATTCCTTTCACGATAACTTACATAAAAATGACATAGACATTCGTAAAGGCTTATTCAAACAAGCCTCAGTTTTCAGAAATGGCATTAAAACTGCAGCCTGATGCTTGTTGAAATAAACTGTTATGCATGTTTATGTAGGTTTATGGCATGAAAGGCTTACGTAGATGTCATGTAGTCTTACGAATGCTACCCTTCAGCAGAGTGTTACCACACATGATATACTGCAAGGTCTGTTGATACTCACTGGGACGGGTGCGACGGCACCAGCGGAACTGGATGCAGCAGCACAGGCCGGAGGTGCTGAAGAAGTCTCTCTCTTTCTCTTCTGCTCCAGGAGTTTCTTCACTGTGGGCAGAGTGTAACACGACTTCTCCTTTGGCGCTGTGAACACAAAAATAAAAATGTCCAGAGACTCTCAGAGGATACAGGAATTGAAAGTAACTTCTAGTAAAACATTTACCTGTGAATTTTTAAATGTGACAGTGGACGTCATTAGTAGAAAACTAAGAGTAATAAGGAAGTTCCAGTCCAGTTTTACTTCTAAGTATTTATGTATGTTTGTACTGCTCTTGCAACTTTTGGTCACCATGTTTAAGCATACTGGACAATAACATTGCAGTATCAGGTTTTCAGATTATAGACCATCAAATTCAGCAGAGGAGTAGAAGTAGTGTAGAGAAGTTTTCTGGAGTAGAATCTGCCTGATTCTGATTTAAGGAGCTAAATATTTCAATAACAGGTGATATAGTTCTATATAATTTTCTATGGTCAAACTAATAAACTAATAGTTTTAGTTAAACAGTGCTTTACTGACTAATATAATTGTCAGTCATCATTCCAATCAAGTCCTACATCATTTTGTAGTCGGCGCCATGCCTATATTAGGAACTCCAGATCTAAGCTGGATTTCTCTATGGAAAAAATGAATGGGATTGTTGAAAATCACTGCTATCACACCATGTGGTGAGCAAAATGATTCCAAACCTGATATGTATTGTCCTACATAGACTGTGAAGTGTTAAATAGGACTGCGAGTTCTTAATTATCACATTTCTTAAACCCAAACAAGCAGCAAAGCCTTAAATAATATGAGTACTGTAGTGTTGGGAGCTCATCAGAATTCTTAGGGTTTTTGTTGGTTTCTGTTACGTACTTCTTATTTTTCCTATTTTTTACAAGTTCTCTTCAACATACCGATTTTTGTATTTAAACCCCAAGAAACCAAACATCTACCAAGCGATATATTCAGAGACTTTGGTGACTTTCTCTTCTACTAGTTCAACTCTACTGCTAAAGTAGTTTACAATGTCCACACTGGCCACAGCAAAATGAATAAGCGCATAGAATCAGAGCTTCTTGTGCGATACAGTGTTTTCCATCACTGTATACATGATGTACAAGGTTTCCTCTATTGTTACTCTTTCTGAATGAAAGAGTAAACACAGTTCGGATCAGTAAGTGCTCATTTTTAGCTTGTTTAATCAGAGCGAGCATCTGATGTATAGTTTGCATTCCTATTCATGTGCTCAAAAAGGTTTGTGAAAAAAAAAAAATACATCCAAATTTTCACCATAGTTAGATGTTGTCCTTTACCTATCAAAGTAAATGCAACAGCAGAACTAAGGAACAACATTATTAATGGAAACAGTAGATTAAACGACAGAAACAGCTGTTTTTATGTTGGGTTACCATGTTAAACTCATGCTAAAGGTAGGTTTAGATGCATTTTATGTGTTTTTCTGACTTTAACCATGATACTGTTTCATCTTCAGGTTTACCAGTTCAGCCATTGGTATTAAAAAAAAAAATATAAGCAACTGGTACCTGTTTGATAAACAATCTCTCTGCAATGACTAAAAGCATGAGACTATTTAAAGACCATTTAAGTTCTTAGAAATGAGCAACTCTCTTACAACTCTCTCTTGCATATTTGCTACAAATATCTGTTCTTATAGAAATATCAACTTTTTTTATACCGGCTAAACAACACATCTGTCAGACCTCAGCTGGAAGACCGCCTTTGGACATATGCCCACAAAACCATGAACAGTGAACATGAGTGAACAACAAATATACCATCTCTGAATAAAGACCAAAACAGCTCTATGATTAAATCGTAGTCATCACTCTTCATTAGTAATTTCATATGTCTAGACATCGCAACACTAAAGTGTTCCATGTGCAGCTACTGTTATTGTTTTTTTGAACATTGGTTTTCTCCCAGCTCTGTGCTTTCCCTCGTGCCATCTGTTGTGCTAGCCGTTTTTTGTCGCGTGTTCAGCATTGTCCTTTCCTTTTGTTAGTCACCAGAGGAAAAAAAAAAGCAGAAGAGCTGACATATAATGCAAACATCAGACGGTTTCCAGTGGTCATCGTCAGTGACATGTTTTCTGGAGCAGACGGAGGAAAGTTTTTTCTTTCTTTCTTTCTCTCTTTCTTCAAAGCCTCAACCCCAAACGTGAGATAAGGCTGAAGTTTCCGCTGGAGGAGCGTCGCGCTCATCACGTCAAACGCTGAGGAAGGTATTCCATTTGGAAGAGAGGCGGTGAGGTCACGTCTACCTGCTTTTTGACAGAAACGAGTTCGGCTTGTAAAGTATGAGAGTGTTTGTTCTGTTTCCTTTGCTCCGTTACGCTCCCGCGGCCAACCACATCCTCCTGTCTCTGTGACGTATTCAAAAGCAAGCCTAAGCAAAGTCTCTTACAGTAAGACTTAGCGCCACGCTGCCAACAGCTGACCATTTAAAGCTCCTAGATGTCTGAGTCTTAACCCTTTAAACCTGTGTGTGGGCCCACGCTTCAGTTTCAAGACTACATACATATTAGTTTCATAATAATTCATATATTTCATAGTAGCTACTGGATAATAAGCCTAGACCTGCATAGGTTAAGCAGAAGTCAGTCAAAGGGCATTTAGAACAAAAGAGATGACTCAGTGATGGATAAGCATATCCATCTCAACCTGACATTTTAGACGTAGCCAAATTTCATTGTCTCATCGTAACCGCTGGTATTGACCTTTTACTCTATGCCCACACAGTTCTTAGTTTGGACATGTAGTTCTAATATACAGATGTTTTTCAGACCTTAAAAAAGGTCCCTCACTCACTCTTCTTCAGGAAACCAAACGTGGTTCTTCAATAGCACTGTTCCAAAGAACTCTTTCATTGTGCCTGCACAGTACATTCCTTCAGTGATGTCATTTAAATGTACTTACCCGTGCCAGCAGAGAATTAGGTAAGAGATGAATGTTGCCTTTTCGCTTTCCATATGCACTCACAAAGTGTGGGGAAAAAAAACGGCAGTTTCTGCGAAAACCACTGAAGTGAACAAACCCTCATGGCCGAGGATTCAAAAGAGGAAGACAGCGCAAGTTCAACCGGCATGGAAACTCCATTGTGCCTGGCTTGGAGAATTCCCTTTCCTATCAGCCCTTGTGTTTGTTCTCCGTTCGCTTTGGTTTCATTTTACTCCTACCTTCCTAAAACCCGCCTTTCACGCGCCTCACCCCCACTACCTCTCGAGGCAGCGAAGTGCAATCAGACGCCTACTCAGCCCCAACGTAAATGTACAGGCAAAGGAGGGCACTAGTATTCTGGTAGTTTGACGATCTACACAGATGGCTGAAAAAGGATAAAACATTTCTTTTTTAGCATCAGGAAAATATATATATGTAACAGAAAGTTACACAGAAGCATCAACTAACCATCTAATATTCTTGTCACCCTTTACTTTTATTACAGCTTTTGTTTTTTTGGAAGCTTTCTTTTTTCAAAGAAATCTGCAAGGGATGTTTTTCCACCTCCAAAGTTCAGTTGTTGAAGTTGGTTGAAGTTTTTGCTTCTTGAGATCCTAATAATCCCAAACACATTCACATTGATGTTCATGTGCTCTGAGAAACAATTTTACTTCTATTTTTATCAATTTCTTTTTCTCAGTGAGGCTTCTTGACAGCTACACTTCCTTTCAGACCCATAGCGTTGTTCTCTCGCAGTGGAAGGATGGACAGAAACATCCGTGGATTGTTTTGGATCTGAAGCAAGAGTGGAGCTTGATTCTGTTCATCCAACGGGGACATTTTTGGTGATCCCAAAACCAACGACTTGTTCATAACAGCCATTCTGGCTGGAAATGAAATCAATGAAGGGTGGGCTCTGACTTCTGCACAGTAATATACCACATCAGCACACTACTTTCTCCCTATTATACATGAGATTTGAGGGAACAGCAACTGTGTTGATGCAATCTTACCCATTTTATCCTTGTTTAACCAGAGTATACATTTCAATCCAGTCAATTCAAAGCAATACATTTTCAGTGTCTTCTGTTTTCCTTGAATTCACTCAGTCATAAAAATATTCATCTGCTACGTCACATCCCGTAATTCTTGAGTCGTAATCAGGCTTTGTAAGGGGTTTACCATCCTTAGCTAGTACTGAGAGAGACCAAGCCAACTGTGGCACTTGCATGCAAATTCTGTTATCGCATTGGCAAGCCAAGCGGAACAGTTATGAATTAACCCTTCAGATAGGACGGAACAGTTTGACAGGTATAAGTACTTCCATTTTACTCCCCTTTACAAAACAGACTGTTCTAGTTCTAAAATTTGATTGGCTGAACCACTTATGTAGCTGTTGTAAAATACTCAGATCTATGACCTCACATCAACTAAGTTCAGTATTAATGTGCCAAGTATACAGAACAATCTTTGGTTGTTATGTTGCTTGGCAACCAAACAAACCACACGGATTGGTTTCTTGCAAATTATTATTAATAAAAGATATTTATTGAACATTGCTGTATTTAATCATAATGCATTTTGATGCCATTTTATATATTTTATAGCTAACAGTATATGTTGTTGACAGTAGTTGGTGGCCTAACACAGGTCCCAATCAGGTAGACAGCAGGGTCTACTGTGTCTGACCTCACAAATTTGCCTGTTGTGGCTTTCAGTGCATGACCTCATCACAGTGACTGAACTGGGAAAGACTACACAGGAAAAATCCCCAGTGCTGAAAGGACAGCACTGAAGTCCAGCCCTGAAAGTCCAGCTGGACTCAAATGAACACTACCAATATACTCAATGAGAGAATGTACTATCAGTATACGCAATCAGAGAATATCCCATCGGTATACTCAAAGTGAGACTACAGTTTGAATATACTCAGTGAGAGAATATACTATCAGTTTAACCAATGAGAGAATATACTATCAATGTATTCAATAAGAGAATATCTCATCAGTATATTCAATGACAGACTATATTATCAATCTACTCAGTGAGACAATATACTATCATTATACTCAATAAAAGAATACACTATCATCAATATACTCAATAAAAAAAACGTATCAATAACATAAACAATGAGATAATGCTCTATTAATATATATACATGGGTGTGGTGATGCCTTATTATCTCATTGAGTATACTGATTATGAAATTCATAGCATATTCTCACTGAATATATATATATATATATATATATATATATATATATATATATATATATTGATATATATATACAGTGAGAATATGCTATGAATTTCATCAATCAGTATATTCAATGTGTGCGTGTATATATAAATATGCCATGAATTTACTCATAATATACTATCAGTATACTCATTGAGATAATAAGGCCCATGTATATATATATATATATATATATATATATATATATATATATATATATATAGGCATATGTACAGATATTCACACATCTCTTTAGCCCCTTTCACTCTGGCTCTTGATTATTATTCTATTTGTTATATTTTATTTGGGCCTTAGTTGAAGTCTAAGACTGTGTGCTTGTGCACTCACCAAGACAAGTTCCTTGTATGTGTAAAAATGAAGTGAGATTCAGATTCTAAAAATATACAGGAACATAATCAGCATGTTCGCAGAGAAAACTATCAGTATAGCCACTCAGAGAATATACAATGAATATATTCAATGAGACAATACAGCGTCAATATGGTCAATGAGAGAAAACACAATAAAAATACCCAATAAGATAATATGCTATGATTATACTCCTTGGAAGAATATATCAATATAATCAATGAGAGAATGTACTATCAATATATTCGATGAGATAATGCACTTCCAATAAAATCAATGAGCTCATCGACAATTACATCATTAAAATCAAACGCTGATGAACGTTAACGGTCAGCCCGACTCTTTGATAGTTAGCGCGCGTGGGCGCGCGCGGCAGGGATTCCCTCCACACGCCGTCGTCATATCTTAACATTAAAAAAAACGGAAATCCCTGACCGTTGAGTCAGCGCGTGGGCGGCGCGGGGATTCCGCTCGCACCCCGCCTCCGCGCTTTCAGTCTCACACACCTCTTTTTCGCTTTGCTATACGCTAGACTGACCGCGCGGAATAAAACAAACAACTAACCGTCACACGCGGAGCTCCCACGCCTATGAGAAATGAGAAGTGAAAATGAAGCGGACAGGGGAGAGAGAGAGAGAGAGAGAGGGGGGTGGGGTGGGGGTCGTACGCGACCACAGCGAGGGGTTTCACTTGAACGCTGGCTGGGGATCCTCCATGCAAATGAACAGCTCTGTTTACCAAACGGACTGACTGACCCACACTAAATCACAGTTCAGCTGCTCGTTCGAACTTTCCCGTTCCACCTTAAACGCTGCAGCAGTTAAATGGCGCGGCATGAGGCGCCAGAGTGTAACCGATGCACCATTTAAGGTGGAACGGGGAAGTTCGAACAAGGAGCAGGTGAATGACGGCTTCGTTATCACCCGACCAGAAAACAACAAAAAGTATCCAAATTCATTCAAGTCAGTCGTTGACAGCGAACTACAGTTTCCCAAAAAAAGCTTTGACACATGTTTTCAGTTCGTTTTTAGCCCTTTATCGTCTTTAAAAGACGCTTTTCAAAATAACGGTTAACATTAGCCACTCTCAGCGAAACACTGACAGCACAGGCTAACTTTCGCTTACACAGACAACAGAGCGTTAAACTGAGTTTACTCACATTTCTGCAAGTGCATGTCAGATTCCCTTGTTGCTGTCTTCAATTTTCAGCACGCCACGCCGAGTAAGACGAATTAAATTAGCTGTTTTTTCCCGTTTTCTTCTCGTCTTGGTCGAGCACTACTCTCTCCGTACAACTCTCCAATTCTGAGTCGGCTTCTGCCGGATCTAATCCTTTTACTACAGCCCAAGATGCGGGGCGGGCGGGGCTACCAGACACGTGACCCCATGAACGCTGTCACAGCCTTGCCGTGCTTTTCAGTATTAATCAAAGCAAACAAAGCACGTTATTTATTGTTCTATGCTAATTAAAGCACACACTTCAAAAAGAGGGCTCTTTAGTAAAGGGAATGGTACTATTTAGAACCACAAATCCTGTATAGAACTATTTCATCCTTAAATGGTTCCTTGCATAGTGATGGTTCTTCAGATTGATGGAGAACGTGTTTAATATGGTTCTATGTAGCACCAGAAAGGGTTCTTTTATTGTTATGTCATGCTTGTAACAGTAGAAGAACCCTATTTGGTGCTATATAGAACCATTTTCATCCTCCATGAATCCACCATGCAAAGAACCATTGAAGGATGAAATGGTTCTATACAGAACTTATGGTTCTAAGTAGAACCATCCATTTCCTTTACTAAAAAAACGTGAAGAGCCATCTTTTTAAGAGTGTATATAGAGCCTTTTTAAAATGGTTCTATATAGCACAGAAAAGGGTTCTTTTGTTGTTCCCAGCTTGACATCATAACAATAGCAGAGTCCTTTTTTGGTGCTATATGGAATTATTTTCCAAAAAGGTTCTATATAGAACCGTATATAACATATCCTCCATCAGCCTAAAGAACAATTTCACCATGTAAGGAACCATTTAAGGATGAAATAATTCTATACAAAAACTCTAAACTCATGGCACTAAGTAGAGCAATTGCTTTTGCTAAAGAACCCTTGAAGAACCATCTTTTTTGGTAAATTAATTCAACACAGTTCTATGTTGCTTGAACCAGACAAGCTTTCAAATCTAAAGTGTTTTCTTTAAAATAAATACGATTAGTAAACAGAGGCTGTGTGGAAAGTGGCACTTATACTTTATTTACATAAAATCTAACGAATCAGTGCATAAAAAATATAAGCAATTAAAAGTTATAATTTTTATGGGGGGAATAATCCACTTAGAGGTTTAGCTGTACACTGAAAACCCTGCCATCATTTGTACTTAAATAATCAAGTTTTTATCACTTTTTTCTTGCAATTAGTTGTTTGTACTGTCTGGTTTAAAATTCAAGTGCACTTACTTTAATAAGTAGAACAAACCCAAAAAGATAAGCAATAAGAGAGTGAGGGGGCGGAGTCACCCGTAATTCTTAGCGGGTTGGTTAATCACTGTTTATTAGCTCTTATTTTCCCTTCAGATGTTGTTTTCATACACATACACATCACATTCTATATACGGGTTAAATATAAGTTGTATACACTTCACACGTTTCAGGTCTCCTAACCATGAATGTGTTTAGTGTCTCTGCTTATTAGTCAGTTTGGTTGTAATAAAATAACTGAAATTACTGCCAAATCAGTAGTTTTTCTAAAAGCTGTTGAAAAATATGTAACTCTGAACTCTTGTTAGTTAAAAAAAGCTTTAAAAGCTCAAAATTCTGTAATAGTGTAGTTTGTGTGACATGTACGTATATTTTGTTTGTTAAACTTTTAGAGTTTGAGTGTGTTTAACTCCACATGTTTAACTCCACATGTATTAAAAAATCTTTTTTCATTTGAGGCAACAAGTTACGTCAAAGAGTTAGTAAACTTAGCAGGGTTTACAGCGTAGCACCGTCTTAAAACGAACCCCGCCATGGGGAGGCCGTAGTTTAGCCTGGTTAGCTCTCACTATGAGTTGGTTGCATAGTTCAGTGCTATAAACCAAGTTGTGACATATTAAGATTAAGTGACCCTTATTAGTCCCACAGTGGGGAAATTTCACCTCCACAATCTAACCCATCCATGCAGCAAAACACCACATATACACTAGTGAGCACACACACTAGGGGCCAGCGAACGGTGGGCAGCCCTGTCCGCAGCACCCGGGGAATAGTTGGGGGTTGGGTGCCTTGCTCAGGGCCACTTCAGTCACGTACTGTTGGCTCAGGGGATCGAACCAGCGACCTGTCCGGTTGCAAGGCTGGTTCCCTAACCTCCAGCCCACAACATATCCCCTAATTAACATTGTGAACACCCTGGATGACTCAAAATCAACATTCTGGGGGTTCCCTCAAAATAAACTTATTATAATGTTGTTCATTTCAACAATTTCAAATTGGTTCACCCAGTTGGTCCTTAATTGCCCAGCAACTGCGCCTATGCCCAGAATAGCTCTGGAAAACTTTACAACATGCCATGGCATATTTAAAAATCTGAAAACTCACCCAGTTTCCAAGAAGTTTGGTGGAAAGAGGGAACTGTTGCTCATTTCTCCGAAGACACAAGTGGGGATGTGTAAGATCTGAGTTAGTACGCAGAAGACTGCAATACCAAACTAGACAAGTGCATTTCCAAAAGACAAATTGTTAAACCAAACATTTTGCTGCCAGTGTCGCTATGGCGATTGAGCCATTCGAATGCTTAGCCAGCCTACATGAGAACCCTGAATAAGAGGAGGGGGATGATAATAATATAGGTGTGGATGCTGTGACTTATACATACAAATCAATAATCATGTGAAAATCCACAGATGGGAATATGAGAAGATGCATTAGTTTTGGTTTGAACATTTCTTCCACAGACTCGATATCAGTCATAAACGACTTTGTTGTGTATATTACAAGCAAAATGAACCATTAAATATGAAGTATTGTGTTCATTTTGTGCCAAAAGTTTCATCTAAAATAATAAAATCCACAAGCAAAAAAATAGTGGGTGTGGCTATGTGTTCAGAAGACCTGTCACTCCAAATCAGTTGACCAATAGAGAATAGAGATAAATGGCCTCTTCTAAGACCCTCCTCCTGTTTAAACATGGCAAAAGCCAGAAGCAAAAAAATCTATCAACAAAATCAGCAAATAGGAAAAAATTAAAGCAAAAACTGGCAAAAAGAGTAATACATTTATATCAAAACGTGAGAAAATGAGTAGTTATCTTTTTGAAAAATTAAGTTAGATTTAACTCTCATTATTTGTATTTGCAATGTATTTTGGACATTTTAATACTCTATATTTTGCTTGTGGATTTAATTAATTTATTTGAAAGTTTTGGCACAAAATTAACTCCATACATGTCACCTTCTGTCTACAAAAAGCAAAGAAATGAAGTGTCCCACTTTAAAGTTTTTTTTAGGTTTTTTTCAGTCAACAGAGTTTTAAATGGTGTACGGAAAATTTTTATAAAGGTATCACTTTAGATTATATGACATGGGGACCAGGGTGACAAAGAGAGACAAAGAGTATAATAATTCTGATTCACATCAATACAGACTGTAGTCCATCTGTTTCTCTGCATATTCTCTGCTAATTAGCCCCCTTTTATTCTGTTCTTCAAAGGACCCTCACAGGACCACCACAGAGCAGGTATTTGGGTGGTAGGTCATTCTCAGCACTGCAGTAACACTGATGTGGTGGTGGTGTGTTAGTGTGTGTTGTGCTGGTACAAGTGGATCAGACACAGAAGTGCTGATGAAGTATTTAAACACTGCGTCCACTTACTGTCCACTCTATTAGACACACCTGCCTTGTTGGTCCACCTTGTAGATGTAAAGTCAGAGACAATAACTCATCTGATGCTGCAAAGTTTGTGTTGTGCTGGTCACAGGACGCTGCTTACAGGACGCTTTTGGCTAGATAGTGTCACTGAAGTGCTAAGAATGATTCTCCACTCAAATAATACCTGCTCTGTGGTGGTCCTGACCATTGAAAAATGGTGAAAGGGGGCTAACAAAGTATGCAGAGAAACAGATGGACTACAGTCTGTAATTGTAGAACTACAAAGTGCCCCTATATGGCAAGTGGTTCGATAATATGGACAATGAGTGAAAATAGAAACAGGTGCACTTGATGAAGTGTCCGGTCAATATAACTTAGTACTGCTTCTGTTACTTTTGCATGCTGGTAAAGACCATTGGTCCAGTTGACCACATGGCTCTTTCCCAGCACCACAACTCAGGAACAACCATGGCCGTAACCAGCATGAGGACACCATGGTCCAGACCTTGGAAGGTTTTATTTTACATAATCATTTGATGCGTTGTTGGGTAATTTACCACAGCAAGACTAAGATAAAAATGTAGAAATGTATGTCAAACACCCATTCATAATTTCTGTGATGTGATGTAACCAAAAAACTAAGATGAACACTGAAACTCCAAAAAGGAATGAACTATAATTTTTTTAGAAGAAAGTGTTGAACATGAACATGAAAAGGAAGGACAATAAAAAGAACAGATAAAACTGTAGAAGAAACACATTTGCAAAAACACAAATAAACTTGTAAAGGCTTAACTAAAGCTTCAAGCTGCACTGTGTAACATTTGGGGATTTGGAGACCTCTCTGGTGGAAAAGTGTAATTGCATGCAAAATGCAGAAGAACATTTTGCAACATGGGTTGTGCCTTAGACTACTTGTTGGGTGAACTGGATGATTGGAAAAGTATTCAAAGAGTCAAGACTTGAGTAAATTGTCTACTATTGACTTCATGTCTTCACCAGCATAGTGTTGATTTTGTATTTGAAGCCTAAACATTTAGCCGGACCTTTTTTGAGCCTGCATGTGACGTTAACGCCTAAAGACGTATGACATGGTCAAAAAAACTCCCGCATAAACCTTCTGATTTTTAAAGTATTAATAAAACAGACTTGGTCAAAACAGTTATTATGCAAATTATATGTAAATTAGACAAACTACATATACAACTGCTGATTCAAAACTATTGTAATGCAGACTTGGATGGGTCTAGAAACATAACCTGTTTCAGTACCTGTTTCAACAAGCCCTCTTCCATTTGGCCTTGTCATTCCTCCTCGAGGGAATCCCCAACAGCATCTTAAGGGCTGTTCCATTGCTTTCTTAGCTCAATTGAAGGGGCTAAAAAAGCCCTCGAAGGGGCAGGGGATGGAGCGAACACCAGTGTCGGCTTTTACAGCAGAACTTGCCCAGA